GATGGGGAGTTGTTTTTTCTTCTGAGCAAAGATGCCCTTGTACAGTGCCATTACACTGTCAATATGGTTACCGAATTCCATGACTGACCATGAATTCTTCGTCAGTTAGGGGATTTGAGTGGCACTCGATCAGTGTGTTCACTGTTCCATCATCATGTCGGAGAACCCTTCAGCGGCTACCAGCTGATCCAGCCTCACAGCGTTATCAATGGCGGAGTGGTGAACTTCGTCAGGCATAAATCCCTCATAGTCATGGGTGATATTTTTTGGCCACAATGTCATCTAACTTTCAATCAGTGTCTGCTCTTTCATCTCATTAAGAGGATTCTGAATGTTGACCAGGCACATTGCAATGTTGTATCCCCGGCAATAGTTCTTCAGGCTGAAGGCCACGTTGTCTTCATCGATGAGTCCCTCCATCGTGCACCTCGTGTAGAGGGCCTTGAAGGCTCGAATGACCCCCCCCCCCGATCCATGGGTTGCATAAGGGAAGTGGTGTTGGGGGCAGGAACTCCACTTGAACCCTGTCATAATGGAGACTGTTTGCATGTCCACCTGCACAGTCTATGAAGAGGCAACTTCTTTTCAGTGAGGTACAGCTTCACCTGCGGTATAAAGCAGTTTACGAACCAGTCGAGTGAGAGGGCTTTTGTTATCCATGCCTTTTTGTTGTGCATCCAGTAGATGAGCAGCAAGGCTTTGTTTTTGTTTTTCAAAGCCGGAGGATTCAGGGACTTGTAAATTATGCTGGGCTTGAGCATGGAGCCTGCAGCATTCCCACACATGAGGAGAGCTACTCGATCTTTGTGGGCCTTGCGCCCTGGCCTCTTCAATTCATCCTTATAAAGGAATGTCCGCCCCTTCCAGAAGAAGCCAGTCTCATCCATGTCAAAGACTTGTTCTGGGATATAACCACCCTCATCAAATTATCTTTGGAAACTCTTCCTTGACATAACGAAGAGCTGCCTAACCACCCTCATCAAATTATCTTCGGAAACTCTTCCTCGACGTAACGAAGAGCTGCCTCTTGATCTGCTGAAGAGGCCTCCCCATACAAAGGGAAGTTGCGAAGGCCAAATCTCCTCTTGACTTTCTCGAACCAGCCCTTGCTTGCAGCATAACCATGTTTTTCTCATGGAGTAGGATCACTCAAGGCACTGGTACTAGACTAAGGTACATTTTCATCGTCGTCATCTTTGTTTGACTCTCCTTCAGGAACGAGGCTATTATACCAGGCTTTGGCTTTAGTCCGAATCATACTGGTATCGAGACTAACCTTTTCCTGACAGTCCAATATCCACACTGATAAGGTATTCTCCATTTTCAAACTTTGCTTATTACGAAAAGTTTCAACTCGCCTAGTGTCCTCAGAAAACAATATTGAGGCAGTTTTATGGATATTCACTTCATCTCTTTTTATATAGTGAAACGTCGATTCTTTTAATCCGCAATGGCATGCAACAGACGCATAGCTATGGCCTGCCTTAAGCATGTCCAATAAATTAACTTTCTCATTCACTGTCATCATTTTTCTCTTCTTCTTGGGTTTACTAGAGGATTTAGAGGGTGGCAGACATTTAAGCTGCGTTCAGATGTGGGCGTAAGGCACATAGAGGCATAGTCATAAGGGCATAAACTACAGGACATCCGTTCACACCTGCGAGACAGGGGTCTAAGCTGTGGCCAATGAGAGAAGCTAAATTTGCGCATGCGTGGATGTGTCTACACCTTTCGCGCGCTGTTTTCTAGCTCAATTGATTTCTCGCGCTTGCTCTGCTCGTTTTCGTTATTTTGTGTCATATCTTTTTCAGCTCACCACAAAGTTTTACTGGTTCAACAGAATGCTCTTTTATCTTCCCTTCTTATAAGCCAAGAGGCAACGGAAGAAGGTAAAAAAAAAAAAGAAAGAAAAATAACGAAATGGTCTAGAGATATTTTTTTGAAAGACCAGTACTTGGTTGGCACATATATTTCTGTGCAAAGCAGTATGGAATATTTCTGCATTGTACTGTAGTACTCTCTATACTATAAACATGCACATGCATATTATATATATATATATAAAACCTTCTTCAATTTTTATATATAATTTCTCCTAGGAAACATACGATATTCTAAATATGCCTAATGAAAAAAAATCTTGCGGATAACTAACAGATAGCTTGTATATAATATTTTTCCATTTTGCAGGTGTGAAAGCAGTTAAGATAAAAACAGTACTTACCATACATTATTATTTTTTACAATTTTGAATCAAAAGGAACATGTTTCTGTGACAGTGAAACGTGTTCTTAGCACTCCTTATTCACTGTCCCTGTTGATCACTATAGTAGTTTGCTGCGCTACCAGTATCAATTATCACTATTACTAGTATCCCACAACTAGTCACAATGACCAGCAACCACAACTAGTACAATACTAGGAAACATTCACACAACAATGTATTTTATGCCCAATCATTAAATACATTTTGCTGTGTTGCCAGCTGTTTGTATACATCTATTTCTAATAATTTGCATGTAAAAGCCGCACCCCTGAATTTAATTTCAACATATGCTGTCATTTCTATTTACGACCAAATCTCAAAAGTAATTTCACATTGACAAATTTTAGATACCCAAGTCTTCAAATACATCAAAATTATAAACATTCGTACCTTATCCAGGAATTTGTACCAGAGAAATAGCATGAATTTAATGATCAAAATTCCATTCAAATGATAGTAATAAAGAGTGGATAATAATAACAAATACTATTCATTAAATTATAGTCCATGTTATGAATTATGTGTGCTATTCAGTTTCATTAAAAGTAAATTCCTTTCATGGAGAACATAATTAAAAAACACAACAAAACTTCAACAGGAGACAAAACTATCTAGACTGTTGTTTTAAGGACATTTCACTACATTTTTTCCTTCTTGGAATTCATAAGAGCATTTTCTCAAAAGATTAATCTTTTATTACTTATACAAAGCTTACACTGTTGAATTGACTATTGTGACTATTCTTAAATAAGTGAAAATAATTTTTTCTTTTTTTTAAAAGTAATATTTTTACTGTTTAAAACAAAAATAACAATTCTTGGTGTTGATTTGATGTTTTAGTAAAATTAATTCATGAAGTTTGTTTGGAAAGAAAATCAGCATTTGAAGCAAATAGCAATACAATATTTCCAGCTTTTTCAATAAATTTATTCTTAAATTCAAAAAAAATAATTAAACAGAAAAATATATAGTAATAATTATAATTATAAAAAGATTATAGTAATAATTTTTTAAAAAATTATAGACAGAAAGAAAGTAATAATAATAATTTACACAGAAAAAATAAAATTTTTGCAAGCATGCATTTTTTAAAGAATTTTCATAATAAAATGAAAAATACTGGATGGGATCAATCATCTACAGCAGTGCTCCGCAACCGGTGTGCCATGAGTAGGATATAGGTGTGCCGCAATCAAATACATGTATTTGACATTTTGCAATTTTTTATCATGTATTTAATACACAATGACATTTTTTTTCCCCTTAATAATGTCTATTTTAAATGTTTTTATATATTTCACTGTTGTGTGGTTGTGTGTGTGATTGTAAGTGTGTCAGCATTTGAATTTTTTCGGCACTTCCTTGATAACTCGGAACTCTTTGGTGTGCCACGAAATTCCAGAAAGATTTTTTGTGCGTCGCAGGTGAGAAAAGGTTGCGGAGCACTGATCTAAAGGATCATACACAGCGTGCATAATCCTGAGCTTAATTTTCGCTTTACGAGTTTCATCCATATTTTTCAATATAAATTGAAAAAATCATTAAAAAATGCATTAAAAACTCATTAAAAAATGCATGTCATCATCGTAGATTTCTTACGAGATCAACTCTTTATTTCGTTCGGATACGATTACAACTCATTTCGTTCAGATACGATTACAACTCATTCGGATACGATGTGTTCCATATTAAAAAAAAAATGTTGCCTTCGATGTCACAGCGAAATCGTCTAAAGAAAGCCGCTTAGTTTTAGCTTCGCTCTGATTGGTCGATGCTTATCCCAAACTCGGTGTAAAGTTTAAAACTTGGAACCCTATGCCACGAGCCCTAAACCAGATATTCTGTGACGTAGCAGTGACTGGTTGCCTTGGCAACAGAGCTCGGCTTTAACCACTTATGACCTTTACGCCCTCGTCTGAACGGGGCCTTAGGAGCCATTTTCTCAAGGGTGTCACAAGCACTATTTTGCCCAAAAAGACACAAGAGAGCAGCAAAAATTAGCACACCTCGAGAGTAAGTATTACTCAAACGTTGATTTGAATGAGCAGGGTCATCTTCGTTGGGTATGTGAGTTAAGGTGGGGGAAACGCCTAGGCCAATCAGCTTGTGAGATTCCCAAGTCGGGAGGGATTTCGAGTGGCAGGATGCTAGCCAGCCAATCAGAGACATGGATTTTGAATTGTGTGGGCACTCCCTCCCTGCTTTCTGCTGGCGTGCGGGCAACTTTCTCGCCATAATTCCCCAATTTTGAATTTTTTATGAATATTTTTGTACAATCTGCAATGTACTGAGGCTGCAATAAATGAACCGTGAAGTAGCGAGGGATAACTGTATTTATAATTAACCCATTAAAGACTGCACTACCTTTTCGAGCGTGTGTTTAAAAGACATATCTTTATGTTGCATTTGTACATTGCTAAGCAGTAAACATAAGTAATGAACATTGTATGTCTTGCAATTTGTTCATTATACCAGCAAAATTTACTTGCTAATTATGCTGTTATTTTTCTACATTCCCTTTTTTGTTTTTATACAATATTTCCGTTTGACAGAGAAAGAAATTCATAAGAAATTTTCTCATTTTCTCCCGAAATGTTTTTCCAGGACTGTGACATATTTTTAAAAATTATTGAGTAGAGCAATTGATTATAAGTTTGATGTATTTGCCAGCAGAATTATTTTTAATTTGGATATAAATTTAAAACTTTGTTTATTAATTGTAATAATATTGTAGGTCGTAAAATAAATAGAAAATCAACTGAAGAAATCCAATCCGATGCACCTAAAGTTAAAAAGAGTAAATGGAGTAGTTTTGCTACAACTCAGAAAAAATCTCAGTCTATTAACATATCTATGGATTCACTTAAAGTAAGTTAGTGAATTTTATATTTATGTATATGTTTTCATATTAAAAGATTTCCAAGTGTATGTTTCAAAGTAAAATAGAACTCTTTATTCAGGTCACTTGTTCTCCTTTCAATGCCAGTTTATCTTTATCAATTTATTCTTGCATTTTTAATGATTTTGTTGGTATAAATAACACAAAAAATAAAACAGGATGAATATCATGCAAATGTAAGTATTCTTCTTAATCTGAATTGTAACACATTTTTCTGTAGAAAGTTAACTTTATGTTGCCTGATTTTCCCATATGTGCAGTGTATCGGGGACATAACTTCCATACTCGGCAAGAGTTTACTGTATTACAAGTTCATGCATGTGACATGACATTTCCATACTCCTTTGACTAGATGAGTGTAATTTGAAGTTATGAATGGCATTTGAACATATAGATCAGGAGTTCTTAACCCCGTGCCCGCAAAGCTATTTTTGTGCACCTACGACTGTCCACTATATACTATATTAGCAACTATTTTGAACTTTTTGTTCCCTTTTTACTGTAAGATTTTGTTTATAATGTTATGATTGCAATAAAAAAAAGAAATATTAAAAATCGTTATACTCCTTTTTTTTTTTTTTTTTTTTTTTTTTTTTTTTTTTACTGCGCCCGCCAGCATTTCCTGTTTGTCAGATGTGCTCAGATATAAGGTTAAGAACCCCTGATATAGACGATAATTTTTGAAATTTTGTTTTATTATTTTTATGCATCTGTATGTCTAAATTTTACTTTTCCCCCCCCCTCTCTCTCTCTCTGATTACTTTGACTAAAAGCAAATTTTATTCTTCCTCAGAATTGGTTTCCTGATTTTAAGCTTATTAATGAGCCTGTTCCTGTAAATGAATTGGTTTCTGGTGAAAATTCTCCATCTATTAAAGAAGAAAAAGTTTCAAATCTTTTCCATACAGATTCAACCAGTATGGATGAGCCTAGTAAGCATTAATTTTATTTAGTTTTCTGTACTATATTAAAGCAAAAATTAGAAAAACTAATACTGAAATAAATATAGAAACTTTTAATCAAATAATTACATACTTGATAATTATACATTAGATTCAAGAGCTGAATTGATCAAAATAATTGACATATTTAAATTTTGATAGCTGTGGCTATTATCATGATTATAAGGTATTCACACCTGTGGAACTGGGACCCCAGTAATCAGTTAGGGAAAGTGAAATTGCATGTGTATGAATGTGCAGCTGGCTAAAAAAAATCATTGACCAAATGCCAGTTCGTGTTTGCTTCAATGTGATTGGTTAGTTCCGATGTAAGATTGCCCTACCAGCGGCCTAATATTTAAGACAGCTCGGTATTGGGACTAGACTAGAGTGTTTTGTAGTTTTTCCTATTTATAGTGTGAATACAAGCTAGTTTCCCGTAGAAAGTCCTTTACAAAGGCATATCACATTAAGTAGATAATTCTTGCATGCTTTACCATGTTCAATTAACCTAATCTATCTTATACAGATTGGCAAATAAGTTTTTTTTTTTTTTTTAAACACAGTATGTATAATTGAAAATATCAGTAATTTGAAAGTTAATGGTCTTTAAATCTGCCATTTACAATATTCATCATATTTTAACATGCATCATTTGCTGTTTTCTAAATTTTACTTTTATGAAGTTGGATAAATTTTGAGAAAATAATATGTGCATGCTTTTAGACATTTTGTTTGTGCTGTTTTATTTTTAGCCATTGTAACTTTTTATTGTATATTTTATTTTTAGCCGTTTACTGCTTTCTGGATTTTATTATTTTGAAGTTGGATAAATTCTTTTAGACGTGTTGTTTTATTTTTAGCAATTGTATATTTTCATTTGGGGGGGGTATTCCTGAAAACTAATTTGAACGAAAGTTCTGTATTATTAAGATATAATTTGCAATGCTATATTGTTCGATTCCGGATTAGGGTTTTTTCCGGAATATAGATCATCAATTTAAATCTGGTAGGGATGACATGCAGAAATTATACAATTAAAAATATGAAGCCGTAATTTATGAAATAAAGAGCAATTATGATCTAAAGGGTATCAAAATTTACAAAAAAAGCTTGATATTTATTTCTTTATTAAACATTTCTTTCAGTGTACGTTGTTTAAGTTGCTTCGTTTTTTGTGCTAATACTTTCTCTTTAACTCTATAAACAGACATAATTTCTTCTTCAGTTACAAAGTTCCACTGTTCGAGTCCTGTAATTGCTGTGTCGGATATGCCTTTATCCATTTTTTGCAGCAATTCCACTTTTTGTTTGTTGGACGTTGAAACATGCTTTCGCTTTGTAGATCCTTTGGCAGCTCCAGAATTGGAAACTCTTTTTGACATAATCAAAAGTTCAAGCTTAATTTTTAAAAATTGCTGTAACAGTCTGCAAAAAATAATAAGCCGGATATAATTAGAAGATTAAGGAACAGCGCGATCTGCAACATTAACTGAAATGCCTTAGAATCAATAAAGATAATTTTAGCCTAGCTTATACTGTCTGTCTACGAGAATAACAGCTCCCGCCGCAGAGTCTGGCGGGTGGTGGTCTCTATAGCACCAGGCCTAGTATATTTCAAATAGGGGCAAACCAAGGGTTGCTTTAATGTTATTTTGTTTTTGGCGACTGTTTGCTGAGGGGAAATGAGTTTATCATTCGTCATCAAGGCATCCCTACTGAAAATGGGTCAAAACTTGTTTCTACGGCAACAGACAGCTGCAGACTAACTGGTGAGAGCTTTTCGTATGATAGACATGCTGCACCGTCTGTTATACATTAAATGTACATGCCTAAACACATTACATACATGCGTAAAGCATGCAAAAAGAAAGTTTGTGGCTTTGAGGTCTGGATTATAGATTATTCCGGATGATGGACGTCCGGATTACGGACATTGTATTGTAATTAGTTATAAAAAGTGTAAATGTGATATAGTAATTTGTATGTTGAAGACATTTAGATGATGCATATAGTAATAATTTCAACCATGTTCAGTTTTACATTTTTATTTCTTTCTAAGAACATTAGTTTTAGTAAATGAATATTTTTAATGTATCATATATAAATTGCTGCTAAGTGCACCTGTTGTTTAATGAATTTTTACACTTTTAACTATCTGAAGAAGGTTCAGCAGGAAGCAAGTCGACAGCAGAGAAGTGAGAGAGAAAATACAGTGTGTTTAGGATAAAAGTTCAGTTCAGAGTAAATCAGTTTCAGATGAGCATTATTTTAACTGGCTGTTAAGTTTTGGTTCCCCAAATTTAAGTTATTATTGGCTAAAGTGTTATGTAAGAATTGTATGAGAATAATTAATTTTGAAATGATGCAGTTTACAGTGATTAATGTAAGCAGTTACTGTTTTTAGGACGTAAAGGGAATATAACCAAATTTAAAAAGTTATGCGACTATTGGTAATTAATTTTAGTTTTGATTTATATATTTTTTCTTACGCATATATATGAGGCTAAGATGAAAAGTTCTGGACCTGAGCCAAAGATGGTGCTCCAGTCAGCAAAAATTTGTTTTTCCTGCCTGGGTGCAGGTGTCATTAGCTCATATGGCAAGTTTCAGTATTTTCTCTCAAGTAGTTTGTTTACACAAATTTAAGGGGAGTTGGAACCCCCAAATCTTCAAAAAATTATGATTTCGGATTTTTGCATTTTCAAATTCTCTACACTTTTACCTTTCTAAAAATACCGTTCTTTAATCTCTATGAAAATTAGAACTGTAAAAAAATCTAGTTTTAATTTGACATCTACTGCTTTGATTAATGAGGATTTTTACATAAAAATGCGTTTTTCTCCAAACGTGATTTTTTTATACGCGATGTACCTTTTCTCAGGAACTACTGCTAACAGGTATCTAAACTTTTTATGGCATATTTATTAGGTTCCCTAATATTTACTGAAATGAGCTTTTTGTAATAAACTTAGAAAAAAAAAATTTTAATTTTTGTGTGTGAGAAAAGTGCTAAATTTTACTATGCCTAACAAAATATCCTGTAATTTATTCTAAAATTCAAAATGTTTCAAAAGCTCATTTCAGTATAATCAGATAGGTATACTTTAATTACAGAAAAAATTTCAAGCTTGTATCTACAGCAGATTTTGAGAAAAGGTACATCGAAAATGGCCAATTTAACATTGTCGGTATAGGGGTTTCTGATACCCCTTAAGTCGTCTTGCGCGTTATTCGTTAAAATGGATACTCTTGAATATTGTGGGGCCATAAAATTCTTTATTGTGGATGGATTAAGCCTTAAGGAAATTCATCCGAAGTTGAGAAAAGTTTATGGGAGATTCTGCTCTTTCCATGTCAGCTGTTCAAAAGTGGGCAGCTGAATTTAAACGTGGTCTCACATCCCTCGAAGATGACTCACGTAAAGGATGACCCAAAACTACAACCACGCTAGAAACCATTGAAAAAGTGTATGATATCATGTTGGACGATAGGCAAGTGAAGGTGTAATGAGATAGCTGAAGCTGTGGGGGGGATATCAGAAGAAAACATGCAAAACATCTTGCATAAAGAATTAAAGATGCAAAAGCTCTGTGCAAGAGAGGTGCCGCATTTGCTGAATGCCGATCAAAAGCAAATGCTCAAACGATTTTCGCAGCAGTATTTGGATCAATTCAACAGGGATCATACCAATTTTGTGTAGCAATTTGTCACAGTGGATGAGACATGGGTAACTACACGCCAGAGATAAAACAACAGTTCAAGCAGTGGGTGGGAGCCAGTGGTTCAGCACCAAAGAAAGCAAAGTCAAATGCATCTGCCGTGAAGGTCATGCCCAGTGCGCTTTGGGATGTGAAAGGGATCCTGTTAATTGATTACCTTGCAAAAGGGAGGACAATTACAGACGACTATTACTCCAACCTTCTTGACCAGCTAGATACCAAAATTCGTTTGAAAAGATCTGGCTTGAAGAAGGAAAAAATCATCTTTCACAAGGACAATGCACTTGTGCACAAGGGTGTGTTGGCAATGGGAAAACTGCGGGATTTGGAGTACGATTTGCTCAGCCATCTCCCCGTTCTCCTGATTTGGCACCTTCAGACTTTCATGTGTTCCCAAACTTCAAGAAATTTATTTCTGGGAAGCGCTTCATGTCCAGTGAAGAAGTCTTAGAGGGTTGTAGATGTTTATTTTCACAACTTTTCAGACTCTCACTTCCAGGAAGGCATACTGATGTTGGAGAAACTCTGGAACAAGTGTATTGAACTCAAGGGAGATTTTGTAGAAAAATAAAATCGTTTTTTAATAGTAAGTCGCAGTATTTCATTGTCAAGCCAAGAACTTTTCACTTTATACCCTTGTGTGTATATATAGAGAGATAAAAAACATGTAATGAAAATAAATATGTAAAATATATATATATATATATATATGGTTCTTCAGTTTTTTGTGCTTATATTTATGAAAATTTTATACTTATAAAAAACCAAATATATATATATATATATTTATGAGTAAAACTAATTGATTCAGATGTTTAATTTCAAAATTTGGGATCACTGAGGTCACTTTCATCTTGCCTTGAGGGGCTAGTTAATAAACAGAATAGTTCAGAGTTGATTAATGCTCTTCAATGATATTTGGTGATTAACATTGGTGATTAACATTTAAAATTGGTATGCTAGAGGAGTTTCCACGCAAGTAATTTAAAAGTTTTCAAATGCTAAATATCTATTATTAATATTCTCATGAATTTTATTTTAGAATTTTTTAATCTAGTAATCATACAAAAAATTCATTAAATTAAAAATAATTTTAAAATTTATAATTTATGTAAATAATATTGAGGATTAACTATTTGCAAGTTTTGAAGCCTGTCAATGTGTCCAAGGGGACAAATTCTGTGAGATTACTCAAATAAGATCTCCTTTTTAAAAAAAATCTAATTTGATCAATTCTTTTTATGATAATCTGAATAAAATGCTTGTTACTTAATTATTAATACTAGAAAACCTTTTCTAAATAAATATTTTTAACTATGTCGGAAAACAAACATTTCACTTTCTTATTTATGTATGGTCCCTAAATATGATTTTCAACTTTAAAATAAAAGATAAATTTAATTTGTAAATTAAAATTGTGATCTTTATAAAAGTGTTTTTTTTTTTTTTTTTTTTTTTTTTCCCTGCTATGTAAATCATCTAAAAAAGTGTTGAATCATCTTACATGAGAAGATGTCTTTTATTATTGTCATTATGGAATGCTAGCATACTGTGATTCTTATTTATTTTATCATGTAATTTTGTTTTTACTTTTATATATTTTCTTCCTTTAAATCATGATTATACCTACAATTTTTAATTTCCCCCCCCCAAGGCATTAAGCCAAATACAAGTTCTAGAAAACAAGCTGAGCCTGATATGAAATCCGAGTCCATGGATGATAGTCATGAAGTAGAAAATGCATCCAGGATTATTTTTATTCAGAATTTAGTGCGACCATTCACACTACATCAGTTAAAAGAACTGTTGAAACAAAGTGGAAATATAATTGAAGAACATTTTTGGATTGACAAAATAAAATCCAAGTGCTTTGTTATGGTAGGTATTCCATTTTATTTTATTTGTAAAAGTTATAATTGCAGTGGAAAAAAATTTAATGCTCAACCACTTAATATGATATACCCAATTTTTGAGCTTGAATCATATTTTTAAAAGTTTGAAATTTTTATAAATTAACAGAGTAAAATTAATGTCAATCAAAGTTAAATTTTGTCTGCTTTCATGTATTCATTGTTGAGTTCATAGGTGAATTTCCATGACTTGACTGTACCTATAATGTTGTATTGGCAGTTCTGACCAATTAAAACATTAATTTCAGCTCATTGTCCCAATTAGTTAAAGCTTGATTTTAAAAATTTAAAAGCATGTTAACAATCAGTTAGACACTTTTCATGTTAATATTTTCTACTTTCCTTTTATAATAATAGATATATTTAATAATGTTTTCTCAAATAGGCTGTAAATTCTTAGTGCAAGGCAGGGAAAATATCTGGATTTTAAATATAATTGTATTTTATGTAACAAAAGTGTGCATACTAATACCATTCTTAAAAATTATTGCTGAAAGATTGTGCAGAATTACATTTTTAATTATGAATGAGCAGAAGCGGCATCTAATGTAAAAAAAAAAAAAAAATCTCTCATCAGTCCTTTCACACTGTCCCTAGCTTGGTTTGAACTGATTCTTAAAGCTAAAAATGAGCGTCATATTTCATTTACATCCTTTCAAGCATAAATCTCTCATCATCTGATGATGATGAAATGTAGTGAAGAAAAAACTGTGGAAAATTTTTGAACTCATTGCCAAGCCATGTTAGTATCCATATTACCTGGTATAATAAATAGCCTTGCAGTCTCTGGATAAACACATCTGAATGTATGCTAGATATATACAAAAACTAAAAATTAATCTTCCGTGCACGACAAGAGGGGAGGAAAATTCTATATTTCCTTTTTAATTGAATGATTGATGAATTTCAGTTTGTATTTTTCATGTTTTGGAATTTATGATATATTAGATTTTTATGTAGCATTGTTCTAAGATACATATTTTTACAAAAAAATGAAATTTTTCAGACATGATATGCCAGTTTTTCCCCTCCTAGTATGTGTAGTTTTTTTACAGTGGTTACCATGTTATATGTCTGTTTTGAAATATGTCCAACTTGGTATGCATTCTGTTTGGACATGAAAAATTTTATTTGGAATATGACTTAAAGTTCAGTAAGTCATGACTGTGTGCATTACGTTTGTTTATCTCTTTTAAGGCAGTGCTATCATCAGGACTAGGGCTTGAGATAGTGCTACATGTGCGATTGCACTGTGTGCCTGGATTTATAGGTGGCAAAATTTTTAGAATTAAGGCAAGGATTGGGTGACATAATTTGCAAGCCACAGATATTACACTGGACTGTAACATGCCTAGTGCCACCCGAACTACAAGTGCCCATGAGCATCAGTATGCCTGTTGCTACTATACACTAAACTGTTGTTTCTATACAGTAACTGTGCTATAAATTTTCACCCTTTTTTGGGGGGGGGTTATATGTTTCTTGTGAATACATTAATAGTGAGTTTTAAAAAAAGTTAATGGGAAGAGTCGAGCAATAAAGAAAATTGGTGGATCGCCATGGAGGTGAACAAAAAGAGATTGTTAAGAAGTATGAAGATAATATAGTATTTACATGACTTGGCCATAATTGTATGCCAAGAATATAGGTATCTATGGTTGAGAAAAACAAGGACACTTTCAAATTGGCTAACATTTTGTAGGGGAGAAATCGATTTACGAGCAATGATCAGAGACATTGAAGCATGTTGAGAAATTGATTTTGATCTGGTTAACAACAACAACAACAAAAAAAAAAAAAAAAGAATATATATATATATATATACAGTATTTAATTTATGTATGATATATATTTCACTCAGTGCATTTGTATTTTCATATTAAAGAGTTCTAATAATAACGGTAGAATTTTTTAATACAAATCAATTAATTATTTTTGCTATTTGGTACACATCCAAAGATCTGGAGTAAATTAATGACGTATACCAAATTATCTTCTTCTCTCTCTCTCTCTCTCTCTCTTTTTTTTTTTTTTTTATTTATAAGATTGTGGTTAATTTTCAACTTTGTGCTAAAAATGCTTTTACATGTCAAACTAATTTACTTGAAACTGGGTACTTTTTTCCCTTTCGGTTTACGCACTGTGACTTTTAATAATGATGTACTCAAAGAGTTATGTTTTTGTGCATGTATTTTATGCATTATATGTAAAAAATCAAATTAATTAAATATTCTTCTTTGTATTTATTTAGTATGAAACTAAAGAAGAAGCTATCAAAGCTAGAAATGCTCTAAATGGTACAAGATGGCCAGTGTCAAATCCAAAGATATTATCAGTAGACTTTGCCACTGAAGATGATGTAAGTTAATTTTATATGTGATAGGAAGGTTTCTGGAATAAATGAAAATAAGTGTCTTTGATAACTGTGAAATTTGAAATACAGTGAAAGGCTGGACTGTCTGAAAAGCTTAGGAAATGCCGCATGCTGGATAGGACAAAATTTTAAATATTTGAGTGTACAAAAAAGTCAGATCATGGTAGAAAAGCTAATTAAATGGAAGAACTTTCCAGTTTAAATTTATAAAAACAGCCACTTTATTTTTTTACCAAAAACCTACATTTAAAAGTTTGTAAGATTTAAAGAAAATAAATTTCAGATGTAAAAGCCAGCATATTTTTGTATATCTTAAATGTATAAAAATAAAATATCTTAACCGTTTATGAAAAACTTGCACCTGCCATATTGTTAGAAGTTTGAAGGAATAGACTGCTTTTTACTTGATTGATAAAAGTTACGGATGTAGCAGACAGAAAATTTAAATCACTTATCATAAATTTTCACATAACATTGCCATTGTTTATTCATTTTCAAAAGTCTCATGTCATGCCCATAAACACAATTTTTAGGTACTTTTCCGTTTCGCCGGCGCAAATCTCGCCAAGCAGACTTTATTGGCAACAACATACAGTATACACATAAAAAATATTTTAAAAAATGTTAGTTCTAAGAATTTTTTTTGAAGGCATAAACATTTTAATATCCTTTAAAATTTTATAAAAAGCCAATAAATAAAGACAATAAAATTTGTAAAAAGACATTAATTTAAGAATTTACTATGGTTCAACATCCTGATTCGCCGGTTCATATCAAGTGACTCCAAGCGATCTCATCTCATGTAATCTACTCTACAAAAATCTAATGCTCTCAGTAATTATCTACATTAATTTCAAGTTAAATCTTAATTTGGAACACAAGTTTAAATGCAAGAAATATTTCAGTTCGTACGAATAGCTTACTCAGAAATTATGCAAACCTGCAGTGCTTTACTTCGCTAATGCATTCTCATTAGAAGCGATGAATTTAACCCTTGACTTTACCTTTTCTATATTTTCGGCTTCGGGTAAGCGCTGTGATTGCATCCTAATTGACTTAATTACCGAAAATGGCCTTAGACATAAAACTGAACTATCTGATAAAAATTCTATGTAATTACAGTCAAAAGTCGTTAATCCGGACTCATCGGGACTTCGGCGATTCCATATTATCGATTTTTCCGGATTATAGATCATCAGTTTAAATCTCATAAGATGGCATGCAGAAATTCTAAAATTAAAAATATGAAACCGTAATTTATGAAATAAAGAACAATTACTATCTAAAGGGTATCAAAATTTTTAAAAAAAAAAAAAAAAAAAAAAAAAAACTTAATATTTATTTGTTTACTTTATTAAACATTTCTTTCAATGTAAGTTGTTTAAGTTGCTTCATTTTATGTGATAATACTTTCTATTTAATTCTATAAAAAGACATAATTTCTTGTTCAGTTACGAAGTTCCGCTGTTCAAGTCTCGTTAATTGCTGTGCTGAGAATACCGACTAACTTGTCAATCGAAATTTTTTCGTTTTCACTAACCTCTCTGTCACATTCTTCATGTCTTTATCCATTTTTTGCAGTAATTCCACTTTTTGTTTGTTGGACATCGAAACATACTTTCGTTTTGTAGATCCTTTGGAAGTTCCAGCATCGGAAATTCTATTTGACATAATCGAAAGTTCAAGTTTACTTTTATAAAATTGCTCTTACAGTCTGCAAAAAATAATAAGCGGGATCCAATTCGAAGATTAAGGAACAATGCAATCATTAACATTAACTGAAATAGATAATTAGATCATTTTAGCTTACGCATTTATACATTAAACGCGCAGGCGAAAACGTATTCTGCACTTGCGCACACGCATATGCGCAGTAGTCAAGGTCTTACGCGCACGCGTAAAACGCCTGTGCGCATGTGCCAATGCGGCGCATGCGCAGAAAGTTTTTAGCTTTGAGGTCCGGATTATAGATCATTCCGGATTATGGGTGTCCGAATTAACGACTTTTGACTGTATATGCCAGTGTTGAAAGAAACAATCAATCTGATAAGAAAAAGCAGCGCCTTGTTTTGAAAATGATGCGTAAAAGGTTACCAGCGAGAATATTCCGTTTGGCATCGGTTGTACCATTATTGGCGATTTTATCGCTTGCGCCGGTAAAACGGAAAAGTACCAATTTTTATTACAGCCAGAATCTCACAACTTTGAAAACATTTTTCTGCATGCTGTTCCATAGAAGGCAGTTCTCAAAGTTCAATAATTTTTTCAAAATGCAAGTGAAATACAAATAGTGGTTAACTTACATCCTACAAGCCTTCCTTAAAAATTAAATTCGCTTATCAAGAATTGATCAGTTTTACATAAAACCATTGCAAAAATCTAGCTTGTGATGTATTTTTGCTTACCCAATCCAATATTGCTGCTAAATTACTCTAGCTAGCAACCATTTTTATTTGTCGAAAAGGGAAATACAGTGGTTATAGTTTCATTCTTGTTTATTTTTCATTTTCAGTTTCAGATTTTATACAAACTGAAGTCTCCACTATCTCTAAAAGACAAGTGTTTCCATATCAATACTGGGCATATCCTCTTAACTGACTGGTGTGTAGTTGCTTGAAAAGGCTTTTGTTCTTTGCATAATGTGAACCCCGTTGAGAACTGCATTAAAACCTTCCATAATAATAATAATAAATATCTTTGTTTTTTGTAAATGGTAGCTCTTAGCATTTCATGTCTAAGAGGGTATGAGAGAATTAACTCAAGATAATTTCAAATTTATACTCACCATAATTTCAAATTTATTTTTTTATACTTTTTATTTATGTAGCCCATAATCAATTTTATAATTATTAAATTTCACAAATCATTAATATTTTATTGGGTGTACAAATTCTTAGCTTTTTTTTTTTTTTTTTTGTGTGTGTGTGTGGGGGGGGGGTGAAGCTTTATTCAAAGAAATTGGGAACATATATTTTATTCAAAGTATTGTCCATCGTTAGCTATGACTTTTCCACATCAAGTAGCATATGGATTTCACGTTTAAAAATTTCCTCATCTTTTTAGCCTATCCAAGAACTGACCCAATTTTTGGCTTCTTCATATGAAGTCATCGATTAGAACAAGTGGAAGTCGGAAGGAGCAATGTCTGATGAATATGGCGGGCTGGGTAGGACATCTCACTGAAGCGCCTCCAAAGTTTCTTTGATGACTTTTGCAGCATGGGGGCGAGTGTTATGTCTTTTGGCATATTGGAAGCATTTGAACTTCAATGCTCAGCTAAGCTGCATCAACTGTTATTTGTAACATTCCCCAGTGATGGTTTTGTAAGGCTGGAGGAGCTCATGCTAGATCACTCCGAGCTGATCCCACGAGATGCACAGCATTAGCTTCTTGCCATGAATATTCGTTTTGGCCAATGGAAGTTTTATGCACGCCGGGCTTACCTCACAATTTTCTGCGCTTTGGGTTGCCGTAGTAGATCCATTTTTCATCTCCCGTCACAATTCAATGCAAAATCCCTTTCAGACTTTTCCTTTGGAGCAGTTGCTCACACATGAAAAAACGGTGTTCGATGTCTCTTGGCTTGCGTTCATATGGAACACAATTTCCTTATTTTTGTACCATATCCATGGCCTTGAGATGCTTTGAAATCGCTTTTTGAAGTCACTCTCAAGGTTTTGGTGAGCTCCTCTTGAGTTTGGCATGAATCTTAGTCCAATAACCTCTCCAACACAGCATTGTCAAACTTTACTGACCGTCCTTTGCGTTCTTTGTCGGTGTCAAAATTATCACTTTTAAACCGCGAGAACCTACTCTCATGTTTTTATTGATGGAGCATGTTCTTCATATGCTTCACACACCAATCGATGTCCATCAGCTTCAATTTTCTTCAAATTAAAACAAAAAAGAAGTGTTTTATGCAAATTTTTTGTTGGTACGAAGGTTGACATGGGTTGAGTACAAAGAAAGTTTGTTTTTTACACTTCAGCAAATGAAACAGACTAATTTTTAGATGGGAATGTTGGTGCTTTAACATAAATATAGTCACAAGACTGTCAAATAGTATTTAACCCCTTGAGGACCAGTGCGGCGGAAATAAAACTCAGTCACGGGACCGAACGCTCTGAAACGGAGCGTCACTACCGGCCCGCGCATTTTAAGCAGTTAAGTCTAAGTTTACAAAAAAATTCGTATAAAATCAGCATTTTAATAAAAAGACTCCAAATTTATAAATTATATATATACTATACTTCTATTTAATATGTATTAAAATAAAAATATAACGTTAATACAATGAATGAAATATGCAAAAAACTAAAATTATTACTATGCACATGAAAACAAATACTATACACAATAAAACAAAGCTGCAAATATTACAAACACAAAATAAAAAAAGAGGAAATTAAGAATAATAATATATTCTGAATAAAATCGAAATTTAAAAATTCTGCTGTGTGTGATATAGTTCAAAACAAGGATCCACACAGAGTCCAACATTGCATATTTTGCACTCATAATATGATGTTTGTTTTCGATTTTTTTTAGCACATACGACACATCTTCTTCTACTTTTATTTCCTTTCCCATCAATATAAATTTTTGGAAAATGTCTACCAGTTAGACAAAATGGTTAAATGCCCGGTAATTTTTGAGCTCCTTGGTTTAGCAAATTTTTCTATTATTTGATGAATAACTCTGGATCTGAATTCCAAAGCAGATATTTTCTCGCCTTTTACCTTCGAATATATTACATTTGCATTTAGAAGTGCCATATCTAACAAACCAAAAAAAAAAAAAAAAAAAAAAAAAAAACGGCGCCAAAACCGAACATAAATATTTTACTCTTACCCGTTGCTAATTCGCTGAATGTACTCCCCCATATTCTCCTAATGAAAAAAAACAAAGCAATAAACAAGTCACTTGAACTCACACGTGCCCTTTCAAACACCTGTGTTTCCCAGTTTGTTTATATTAACTAGAAGAAATTCTTTCTTCCATTTCACTATTTGATTAATTCATCTATTTCGAAATCTCGCTCTGTCAAACCTCAAAAGACAAACGCAATTCTACTCCAACATTTCAACTAATAAACGTTCCATAAATTTCCGCAATCTGTCAAAATATAAACACAGCGAGCAATAAATCCCAGCCCTTTAAAGAGCTGTGATTCTCACTTTGTTTACATCAATAAATATATCAAATACAGAAGCATAGAACAGAAACCAATGCCCGTTCATGAAGGTCAAATACCATATGAGTCGACCGTTGTGAAAACCGTTGCCGTTTAACGCTATCTAGTAGCATTTAAAAATTCAAATAAAACGTTCCGATTACGCATACGCGACGCTGGTCTCTCCATATCAATCGGAGCTCTTCGCGTGGAAGCGACGCTGGGCTGATAAGAGTGGAATCGCTGCGTTGCGTCCTCGCGACCTTGGTCACGAACGGGTTAATACTATTAATGCCATCTTATGTAAATCCCTCAAAACTTGTTTGTTCACCCAATATATTCATTATAGTAACATTTAATATTTTCTGTGTTAATACACATCTCAGTTTTTATATCTTTTTCTATGCTAATATTCAAATTGATTTCATTCAGTTTAATTCATGATATTTACCTCATTTAAAAATAGTGCAAAATTATAATTGTTCTTCTTCTATGGCCAGACAGCCCAGGATGGGCCCTGGCCTTCCTCAGAATCGAATTCCAAACTCTTCTGTCCCTGGTCATGGACATCCACTTGGTTATTTTTAAAATTCTTAAGTCTGTTTCCAAACAGTTGAGCCACCTAAATTTAGGTCTCCCCCTTTTTCCGGTGCCGAATTGTCTGGCTGAGAAGATCTCTTTAGTTATTCGATTTTCATCCATTCTGCACAGTTGTCTTGCCCATTTAATTTTTTTAGTCCATTTAGTACTTTTAGCTTTTTCTGTCATTGCCCAGGTCTCAGCAGAGTATGTAAGAATGGGTCTGATTAAGCTTTTTAAATTAAAATCTTCATTTTTCTTCTAGTGAAGTTAGACTTCAAGTATTTTTTTAGAACGAAAACACATTGGTTAGCTATCTGTGACTCTACTACGGATCTCAGGCATTAAATCATTGAGAGTATTAACTTCTGATCCTAAATATTTAAATTTGCTAACAGTTTCAAATTTTTAATCACAATTATAATTAACACATTAAATTTTTATAGCCTCCTTAACTGAAATGTTTGAAAATTTTAAAATTTGTTACTGAATTTATTGAATATAAATATTGATATTTCTAATACCATAAATTTTAATGTGATATTTTCTTAAAAAAACAGTACATATTCAAAGTAATTGTATCAATTAAGTGATTATGTAAAATATTTCTAGCTATTCTAATTAATAAATTACTTCATAGTTATGAAAAATGTTACATTTGCGCTTTTCAGTAAGACTATAAAATTTAATTAATGCCAGAACCCTTAAATGAAAACACAGAATAATTAAATTTTCATTCTTTGAACAATATTTTTTATGTTTTCTGAAAACAAATTGCAAAACTTTTTAAATTTAAATTAATTGCTTTGATTTTTAAATTTTAAGTCCCTAGCGTATTTATTCCTTCTGTATCACTGAAAACTTAAAAGAGAATAAGTTTTGAATTTTCTTTTAATGCCGAACATTGATTATGCATAATTCACCTTAGGGAAAGTGAAAGCAGATGAATAAATCTCAGAATCAATCATGTCTGTTCTTGTAAACACTCTGCTAGGTGCCTTTCATATTTCATATTTGTAGTTTAATGACACACTAGCTTTAAAGCACTTTTAGTAAAATGGTGTTTGATAGATTTTTTTCTTTTCTCCTCGCCTCTTGGACCAATTACATTACAAAACAGCTATAATTACAGTTTTGTAGACAGCTTTCTTGTTGAGGAACAAATCATAAAAATATCTTGTTTTTGTTATAGAAGTGTATGTATGCGTGTATACAGAATTATAGAAGTGTATGTATGTGTGTATACAGAATTATATACCTCTGTAGACAATGAAACTTTTGTATACCCCATCATTGTATTCTTCAATAATAATAAAAAGAAATAATTTAACTAACATCAGTGTACTGCTAATATAACCCAAAAAAATCGAGTATTATATCAAAAATATTATTTAGTTGGAAAGATCTGAAGGAAAGAAATAATATTTCATTCTCTGTATTTAATTGTTAAGCAGTAAGATGCTGTTATGCACTGAAAAATAAAATAGCATATCTAAAATAATGTTAGTAAATTATTACAAATAAATAAAAGTATTTAAGAGGAAATCTATTTTGCTTGTGAAAATCTGCAAAACAAACTTCTTTTAAAACCTTTTTTTTCCCCATCTTGCAGTCTTCAGATTAAATTTTTTCATGTTAAGGTCATAAAAGAAGCATGTACAACACATGCACCAATTTCTTGAAACATTTTAAATATGAAATTTTTTTAATTTACACAAAATATAAAATAAAGAAAATTAAAAATCCAGGTTTCAAAAAGTGAATATGTTCAGGTTTCCACAGTACGACAAACTTGCATATTGAGAGATTTCTTTTTTTAATGATAGGGATGATTCCTATATTTAAAGATCTGTGTATTTTGATATATGTTTAGCTTTTTTCGTGTTGTTTAACTTAGTTAAGATTAATTATTAATGTAATTTCGTTTCTGCCAGATTGAGTCTCACAAAAGAGGAAGTGAGCCTCCTAAAACTGTACCCGAGCCCACAAATCAGAATATTGAGACTTACGAAGTTAGAAATGTGCATCCAGCAGAAGAGCATCGGAAAAAGGAGAGGGATCGAAAGAAAGAAAGAGAGAGATCGAAAACTAGAATGCCTGTGCGGGAGTGGGATAAAGATAAAATTTCACAGGACTCACCAGAGAAAGACACTACTGTTAACAGAGAATCTGATTCAAAAGCCAAAAGTTCAGAGAAAAGAGAGAAGAAAGGTATTCTTTTTTAACTTTAGGGGTTATTAGAATGTAAGTAAATATAGAATGGAATTCTAGGACTAAATTTATAAAAAATGTGAGATTTGAAGAAAATCACTTTTTTATAGCTGCTTTCTGCACAAATTCATTTAAACGCTGTATACATTTCTTCGCATGTTGGCAAAACTTATGGAAGTCTTCTTTTGAAATGTAAAATTATTCCTTTCAAAAAGCCCTAAAAAATGGAGACCCACCAGTGGCCGAGCAGTAAAGCCGCTAAATATTCCAAGTTCGAATCCCACGAATGAGCTGGCTGCATGGGCATTTTTGTGGATTTTGCCATATGTAATGTGTATACAAGCCAGTTTCCCTTAGAAATTCCTCCACAGAGGCAGCCCTCTCCTATATGTGAGATGAAAAGTAGAAGTTTGAAGTTCTAAATTCTGATTCGTCTTATATATAATTTTGGATCAAGTTATTAGTGAATATAATATATATATCATAGCTGCCTACTCTCCCGGTTTTTTAATTTTGAGCTTTTACTAATGATTTTTTTTTTTTCCAGCAATAAAATTAAATTGTGAAAATTTCATTCCCCCATCCTTAGTGACATTCAGCATAATTTTTCTTATTAAATTTTATTTGATGCAAGTTGTTTTAATTATTACATTGGCATTTGTGATACTTAATATGAAGACTCATATTAAGTATCACTAATATGTTTTATCAGTAAATATTTGTATTTGTTTAAATATTTATTGATAAAAATAAAAAAAATTGCTTCCTAAAAACTGCTTAATATTTGTATTTGTTGTTACATTAATATGTAAATTCATTAGGCCCATTTCAGAACAGGAAGCATGAAAAATATGCAATGGAAGTAATTTTATTTTCGTCACATTTAAAAGTACTTTGATAAATTAAAACTTTCCTTTCTTGATAATAATTTTCTTAGTATAAAAGCATGAGAAAAGACAATGAAGTTAGCTAAAGAACATAAAATGTATATGTCATTAAATATTACTGTTTTACACCAGAATCATATTATATAAAAAGTAAAATAACTTGAATCATGTTCTGAAGCAAAAATAAATTAATTTTCAGTTCATTAAAATGGTACTGCCACGTAGTACCACAATCGTCTAGAAACTCCCAGTTTTGGGTGGCTGAACATGGTGGTTTTTTGTATGTCAATGTTGACGGCTGTGAGATATATATATATAGAGAGAGAGAGAGAGAGAACTACAGTAGCATTGATGTTATAGATTTTAAAAGATGATTAGATAAAACCTTTATATTTATATAATTTTTAATTTCATTAAAGCATTATTAAAGTCACTTAACACATTACACATCAAAGAGACAATGCTACTAAAGAAAATCAGATGCTATACTAGAAAGCCAAAGGTTGAATCTTTTTAAAAATTGGTTAATTTTTTCCATTTCTTTTTTTGTATTTAAAATGCTGAAATACCTTTTTCCCTCGTTCCTCTGTAGATTCTAAACGAAGGCCAAATGAAGATACTCCAGCAAAGCTACTAGATGATCTGTTTCAGAAAACCAAAGCTTCACCTTGCATTTATTGGTTACCATTGACAGATGAACAGGTAAAAAAGGAATTCGGTATTTAATTTACTACAAATTAACAAGACTTGAATCATATGCTGTAATATGCAAAGTTAATTGTATTTATATCTGATAATATTTTTTGCTTTCTGGAACAAAGGAAGAGGCATATAAAGTGAACACTACGAACCATTTGTGAAAATTAATGCCCAGTTTTGTTATTTTTGGTTTAAAAAACAAGAATGTATAACTGTTGTAAGCAGACTATTTCATGTTAAGTCTAGAACAGTCGTATGATCCATGGAATCTGAAAGTAAAGTAGAAATTAAAAGATTTTACAGTTTAAAAAAAAAAAAAAATTAAAGAGGATTTATAAAGTTATTTATAATCACTGGCTCATTTTTTGTTTGAAAGTTGTAGTAAATTTACATTCTCCCTGCTAGAGGGAAAAAACAAACTTAATGATGAATTGGTACTGGTAGAGGTATTGAACAACTTGTAATTTTTTTTAATGAATTTCAAATGTGTAATTCTTCTATTGTCAAGTGTGTATTAACTGGATAGCTTCTGTGCTTTTATTAGCTGTGTTTTATTAATAGTTGATAGTAAGAAATATCAAAATGGAGAAAAATAAGCCATAAATATATCTGTGGAAGAAGTTTTTAAAATTCATAATTCTGAAATCTCAATATTGACATTTATTTATTTATTTATTTTTTACCTAAATATTATCTTTCCCTAATGATTTTGCCATTTGTTTATGAGTCAGAAACATCAAACAAAAGTATATCGATATATATGTAAAGAATTTTCCATTCATCTGAAAAGTCAAAGAAAATATATATATATATATATATATATATTGTCAGATAGTCATTTGAAAAAGTACAGATTAGTCCTCTCAAATAATGACATAACTGATGAATAAAATTTCCTGCTTTTCAAATGAAAATCTCCTCCCTTTTTGCAAAAATAGAGCTGCATCCATTTCCCGGTTTTTCGACACATCTCCCAGTTTTGTGTAAATTACGTTATCCTAACCCTAATGATTTTTAGTAAAATGTTTCTAATTAAATTTTATTTTATTTGAATCATCTTAATTTACTGTAGACATTTGCAGAACTTTATATGGAGATATAACCTCAATCAGTAATTATTTGCATATAATATTTTTAAATCAACATATGGTACATTATTAAGTTTATCTACATGAAAGTACATACATTAATTATTTAATTTTAATGATGTTTGAAAGTACAAATTACAGCTTTTCTTCCCTATTCGAGATTTTCTCAATATAAAATTATAAGCAAATTACAAAATGAAATTAACTGAAGAAAATAAAATGTGAAATATCTTTCAATATTCATATATTCTACATCAAAATCATATTATAAATCATTGAATAATCTGCTGCCATGCAACCTGAAAACCATCGTGAAATTAGCAGTTTTTGAAATGATATACATTTTCATATTTTTCAAGGTTGGGAGCTATGAGAAAATAGTTCACTTGCCTGATATCATCTAATATTTTGTTCTTGAATGCTGTTATTTATATAAAATTGAGTAATCTGTTTCTGAACCATAGATGATTGTTTGTTGAAACTTGTACACCAATCCTTTATGCTCACTTTTACTCTAAAATCTGAGAAAATGAAAGTTTAATTTTACCGTAACTGTACAAAAGAGAGTAGACAGCACTAATGGAAAGTGGTGAGGAAGAGAAAGAGAAAATGGTATTGTTTCGACGAGGAGTATGCTTCCATTATAGAAGGGGGAAAAAAACAGGAGCTTCCCTTTGTTTCCCCCTTTGTCTATTGTGCCTTGGCACCCACCAGCAGGCAAGCAGTGAAGTCATTGAACATTGGTAATTAAATCTGGGTTTGATTCCAGGCAAATGGACTGGCTGCATGGGTATTTTCTTGGTTATCCCCATATGTAATATGGATATAAGCCAGTTCTCTCAACTTCCCTTAGGCGAGTAGCCCTCGTGTGCTTTGCTGTAACCAAATAAATCAAACTTTACTGCCTTTCATGTTCTATTATATTTTTACTATTGTTTTTAAATTTGTAGATGTAAATATGTTTACAAAAACAAAATCACAGATTGCACAAAACTTTGATTTTAGTTAATGTGATGGCTGCCTTTGATGCATTGGGGCAAATTTTTTAACATTTGACAGAAAATTGCTTAATCACCTTGTTCAAAAATATTCAACCTGTTTTTTGTGTGCCTTGACTAAAGCCTATTTCTGTTAGGCAAGGTATTTTGGGATATTTCTCTCAGATGACTTTTAAATTCCAAAAGCTTAGTGTACCTATGCATTTTGAATAAGACTTGTTCTTAACCCCTTCGCGCTGGGTAGCACAAACGCGCATTTATCGCGGAGGCCGGCAGTGTCTTACGCAAGCGTCTGTCCAGGGCGGGGGGCTTTTTTGCTGTTAAGCCTAAATCCATGAAATTTCCGAAGTATCAACGCATTGTTTAATAATGCTCTATAGAGTATTTAAACGGCTTATGCTTTATAGATATTTTTATACTATATACTTTAATTACCTTATTTCTTGTTTAAATGCATATTTTACACATTTTATTTTCATTACTCACCATTTTACGACTTTTAACATCTGAAAACTAAATATATTACTTAAAATTCTCTTTTCATATGAAAAATTTGAAAACAGGGATCTACACACAGTCCTGCGTTACATTCCTTGCACTCGTAATAACTCATTTGCCGTTTTGGAGGATTTTTCCGGGAATGTGAACAAACAAAGCATCGTCGTCTGATTTTCTTATCAGTCTCTTCTGAACAAAGTTTTGGAAAATGTCTTTCAGTTAATCTGAGTGGATTTAATGATTCTGCTGATCTTGGTGTGATTGCAACGGTAAAAATAGAAAGAATTCACGTCTAACAAGATCTAATTATTTTCTAAAACAGAAAGAATTCACGTCTAATAAATTTTCTATTAAAAAATATTTATTTGATCTGTCTCTATTAAAAACAGAAACAATTCACAACTAACAAGATCTAATTTAAACCGAAATACCCAACGCTTTAGCGAAAATAAAACTTCTCTACTTACAATAAACAACTACCACGTGCGAATTTAAAGAGACGTCATAAATCACGCCATTCGGAAACATTTATTTCCCCTTTTGTTTATATAATCAAAAACACGTGTATGTGAGTCATGCTCTCATTTCGAGTAGAAGGTATAATGTACATGTATCTGAAACCATATGGACATACAGTGCCATCTTGTGGCAGAAATTATAGTTTTTAAAACGTTCCAGGGCACTGGCACAAATACGTGACAGTCAGGGCTGAATGGGAAAATACTCTGGCACACCTGCGTGTCGGCCAGGAAGTGAGTGTGTTTGTTGCTGGCACGTAGACGTGACAGTCGGTGCGAAGGGGTTAAACCATTAGCCGCTGGTGTTGCGTTGACGCAATGGTCAAAATAAATGCATATATAAATAACCTAAGATATTTTATACCAGCAGATGATTTTGTGTAGGGAATATTATGAAGATTATTTCTGTAAAAAAATATTTGCCTTCAACAATCATTTTGTTTATAATAATTAATCTCATACTTTAAGCAAAATTTTCGACCGGGTATTTTTGCTGAGAATTGCCGTCTTTATAAATGATCTATTTTTAGTCAAGGACACAGTTTATCAGAATATTACATCACTCAGATGTTTATATTTGATGTTGGGAAGGAATGGAAAACAGTGTTGAATTGACGCAATGTCAGCAGGAAAATGGGTAGTCGATCTTCTTTTTTCACTCATTCCTTTCGATGTTCTGTTCATGTTCTGGTTGTTTAAAAATGCCTAGAATGAGGTATCTTACATTAGAAGAAGCCCTTCAAAGATTTTTTGATGAAGAAACAGATGATAATAATGTTAATAATGACGAGAATGAAACTGATATTGTTGTTGTTCCCCCAGAAATTGCAAAGGCTAGTTACGAAGAAGAAAGGAATGGCAATGTTTTAAATAATGAAAATGATATTTTACCAAATGATACTGCTGGGTAAGTTTAAATTCACGTAATAAGTTTCAGCCTTCTAAAAGCAGTTATAGTCATACTAAAAAGTTTAAAAAGCAGAAGACTGACATCTTGAAGTGGATAAAAAAGGAACTGTTAGTTATGTCTCAGGAAGAACATGAAGGAAGAGAAATTATAAAAGACAAAACACAAGATAAAACTAGTGCACAGATTTTCTTTTTGGTTTAGACATGTACTCTCTTCTGACACATTACAATTTTCAATGTCTTGGAAACGAACAATAAAATCCTTTCAAATTTTGCAAGCAGTTTATATAACAATTTGCTTTCTTTATATAATTATATATATATTGGTTATGTTGTCTTGTGTTCTTGCATTTTATTTTTTACATTACATTTTTGAATAAAAAATTATATATTTTTATGAAAGTATAAATGGTAGGATCATAATTATGATCAGACTGTCGACTCCATGATCATTGCTGACCCCTTTTGAAATATCATTGACCTTCAAGGGATACTGATCCTGTAGGGGAACCTCTGATCTAGAGCATTTCTTTGGAGGAAAAAATTATCAGTCAAGTAGAAAACAAAAGATAAAAAGAATGATGATAGTGGTTAGCTGTTAAGGCAGAGTGCAAGAGTTTTTAGCAAGGTGTATATTGTATATATCAGCCAACTTTCATGGATTTTTCACAGTTTTTACAAAATTGCTTCGATTTCAAGGTCGTATGCACATATTATTGTACAAATTTTGCAATAGTTTGCAAAGGCATTAAAATTGTGTAAGATACCCATTACAAAATGAAAAATGTGTTAATGCAGAATAGACTTGTTTTTATGTGAGATTATGATGAGTTGCATATATTGTTTGGAGAATTTTTGGAAAAAGAAGTAAAAACAAAAGTTATCCCTAAATTCCCTACAATACTTCCTTATTCTTAAGACTGTTATTTAATTGATACCAAGAGCCCTTATATTAATGGATTATGTCAAATAGCAACATTATTCAATGCTGTTCTCCTGATAGGCAGACCATGGTTAGGATTGCCGGTTCATAATTTGGAAAGAGCTCTAAGTAGGTTTGCTGCTTTAGCATAGTTCATTAACTAAAAGGTAGTTATTTAAGTAAGAGCCCATCTTATTAAAAAAAAAGTACTTGTACTAATTTTGATACTTAAATGATTATCTTAATGCATTTCTGTTTATTTTCTTGTTTCTTTCTTTATTGTTTTGTGGTTTTTAATGTTTAAAAGTACGAGAAATTGCAAAAATGGTTATCTTGTCACATAGACATATATCTATAGAAAAGAATTTCTCTCTATTGGATATTGAAAATTCACAATTTCGAAAAGATTCATTTTTCATATTTAACATATGATATTGTTTCATAAAATTTTTGTGATGCTATTCTCAATATTGAAATTATTAATGAAATAGCATTAATACTTTCTTCTATATTGTTCATTAGAACAATAAAAAATTTTAATTAAATTTGAAAATTCAAAGATGAAAAAATATTTAGATATCGATGGCATATGAGAAAGCTTACAATCCTTTCAATGAATTATGGACATTCATTAAACATATCATTTGATTTATTGCTTTATATAGTTAAACAAGTAAAACATTTTTTCATGGTTATTCTTACTAAAAAATGTTAAAATGGCAGAAAGGTATAAGTTTTTTACTTCAACTGCTAGGGAGGGGGAACCAGCACTACTACATCAACTAATGGCTTTATAAAAAGTATTTTAATATAGAAACTGAGGGACGGGGCTGCAGGTAATTAGAAAATACCAATTTTTTTTAACAGTAGCCATGCAAGTTTTTAAATATAGATTGGATTTTTTACAATAATGCAAAGTACTCAAGGGCTAGATTTCTTTATAATAGAGTGCCTTTTTAAGAAAAATTGTTTTTGATTTGTGCTTCACCTTTGGAAAATAACAAACTCTCATGCAACCAGCCTATTTGTTGGGATTCGATTCTAGAGTTGAACTAACTTTGTTTAGCTGTTTTACCACATGGTTGCTTGTGGTTGTCTTTAAATATGTGTGACTGTTATGAGTGTTTCGAGAAATTTTATTTTTGAATGTTAACTATGAAAATTTTTAGGGAATTGGTTTTATTCAAGCTTCTTTTTTAAATAAACTTGTTTTATGTAAATTATTACATTATTTTAAATAATAATATCCCTGTTTTACTTGTAGAATAGCATCACAAAAGTGAATACAGTTGCACAAATATTTGTTTTAATTTATTCAGTTCTATTTGTTGATCTGTCTTTAATTTCTTTTCTTTGGTGGGCTATAAAAGTGAAGTGCTTAATTTCCATTTAAAGAAATGGGTATAAAAACATGATGATAAATATTAAAATATTCATGTTTTCAGAAATCTCAGAGTGTTAATTGTGTGTCAGCATATCCTTATAGTTACTTTTCATCATTATACTCTGTATCAATTGAAAATCTAATGTTTTTGAAATTTTTATAAGAAAATGTTATTTTTTATCAGGTTTGCTTATTCTTTTTCACCTTTTGTAATTTAGGTTAATGAAAGAGAAGAAGCAAAACGCCTAAGAAGAATTGAGCGTGAAAAGAGAAATCAACAAGCAAGAGAACAGGAAGAGTCTGAGCGCAAAAGCAAGAGAGCACGGTCTGGTCACAGAAGTCGTGAGGTAGGTTTTTTTTTTTTAATAATAATATGGATGGGCATTATACAAAATTAAATAAGATTTTCTAAATTGGGAGCAGTCCTTTTTCAATAATTTTAAGCGTACTTTTCATACACATATGTAATAAAATTTTTGATAATTGTGTCAGTGCGATGCAGGATAATTGTAATAACAAAAAAGCTGAAGTAGATGAATACTGTTGTCTTGTTCTCCTTCCAATAAGTACCCAACTGTGGATCTTCATATAATTTACATATTGAAGCACACTGAGAAGTTCAACAGTTTTTTAGCAAATATTTCATATTTTTATAGTATTTAAGTTCTGATGTGAAATGGAATGTACAGACAACATGTTAACAAAGCAGATGAGAGAAGAGCAAGCAAAGCAGAAGTGAGAAAGAATGAGCATAGATTGAAAGAAATGCTAGATTAAGAATAGTGGTTATTGTTCCAGTTTATTTCTTTTGGTTAATTAAGACTTTAATTTGCAAATTTTATTATGAGCTGACTCTTTACAGTACGTAAATACATCCTTTATGTATCATATAAAAATTATATGACTGAAATCAATTTTGAAATGATGCAGTTCAAATAGATTTATCAAAAGCATTTTTCTGTTTTTAGAATAGAAACAAAAAATAAACTAAAAAGGAGATATATTACAGTTAAAGCTAGAATTGTATTTTATGTATTCTTATATATATGTGTGTATGTGTAAAATATAAAAGAGTCATTAATAAATTTACTAAATTTGTATATAGACGTTTCTTCCTAATTTCAGTCTAAACTTTTTCGCATCTTGCAGTATTCCACATTGCGAAAACTCTTACCCAGTCATCATTCAGGATTAAAACAATGGAGTCAAGCTTATAAATAGTGCTACAACTAACTACGCATTCTCTTTTGCTGCTTGCTATATCCTGAATAACCCATGTATCATCGCGTATTGCATTCATTGTTCTGGGAAAAGTATAGCATTTTGTTCTGTTCAGAATGAAATGTTTTAAAAATTTATTATTTCACATACTTTGAAATATTGTAAAAATATATATATATATATATTCATTTATACTTTACAATGTAATTACAGAATCATTACATCCAATTTTATCAAAACTGATTGATTTTAATGTAATGGTAAGTCTCTTAATGTCTTGGTCACTAAGAGGGATGTGTTACTGCTTCGAGGAAGTGTATAGGAAAAACAAGAAAAGTAGCAGTAATTGATGACCAATATATAACACTGCATGCAAAAAGTGTTTGAAACCAGATAGCGGGCAACATTGCTCAGCAGTGCGCATGATAATCAGACGACAGGTTTAATGCAGCCAGACTTCATAAAGGTGTCTCGTTTGCCCACCACCCTGAATGTTGCATACCATTGACAGCAGCCCATTTACAGTAGTGTACAGAACACGAAAACTAGACACCTCATCAAAGGAGACACGTCCTCTTTAATGATGAGTAGTTTCAGTCTGATAAAATGGTTCCTGGTGCCAGTCAATATGGTGAGGTAGGGACATACTTTCATCCCACTAACATCAGGAAAACAAAGAGACCATTGCAGTCCTGGGGTATGCTTGTATGGGAAACATTATGATGAGTGGACGAACAGAGATCCACATTTTTGACAGAGGTTCACTTACAGGAGATCATTTCTGTGATGAAGTTATCTTCCCACGTCTTTTCGGGATGCCATTGGTCCCGACTTTGTTTTTATGGATGACAGTACATGGCCACACAGGACTCGTGATGTAGAGGAGCTTCTGAAAAGTGAAAATATCCAGAATGCATCGACCAGCATGTTATCCTGATTTAAATCACATTGAACATTCGTAATGTATATAGGAGATGCCTGGCAGTACGATCTTACCCTTCAAAGAACAAAAGTTAGTTGAAGCTCCTTTGAGGGTGAATAAGAAATTCCTATTAAAGGAAGGAGGAAACCTGCTTCAATAGGAATTATTGCCCAAAGAACTGTTAGATAATCTGGTATTGAGTGTTAACAGACAGTATAAAGCAACCACTGCAATTAAGGGAGGTCATATCCCTTCCTCTTGACCTGGAAATTATTTGTACCAACGCTATTATGTTAGACTTATTTTTATTTGTTTCAAATACTGTATGCATAAATTTTTTTTTTTTCCTACTGTACTTCCCTTATCCTTTAAGTACCACATTTTGCCTTTGTGGTACAAATTTCATGTCTCCCAGTTGATTTTTTGTGGAATTGTGGCTATATATATATGTGTATGTAATTACACTGGGAAAGGATAATATACATTTTCCTGTAATTCTGCTTTTTTAAGTCTTAACAAAATTTTATTCACAAAAAAATAAAATACCATATGAAGGATACACATATTTTTGTGACCTATTAAAGGGTGTGAGGGAAAATTTTTATGTGAAAGTGTGTACTAGGGAAGTGAGGATTCAGTTATATTAATAATGTCAAATAAAAATTTTTTTGTCATCTTAGCCTTTAAAACACAGTTTTTCAATTATCTGAATAGTTAAGTAACATTAGAAAATATATTAGTTTTTATGCCTGAATATTTGGATATCTTGTAAGAGGCAGTGGTAACTTGTAATGCCTAAAATTGCTTTTGATCTCTAATGTCTTTGCTAATCACTGAAACATTCATAATGTATTGCATAATTAAGCAGTATTTATACATATAATGAAACCTTGGTTCACAAATGTAATTCATTCTTTGCCATTCATGATTCAAAATGTTCGTAAACAGAATTTATTTTCTTGGGATAGGAGTTGATATAAAATGGGTCAATGCTTTCCTGGACCCCAGGTTATATTACCTTTTAAACTTCACATTATTGCTTCAAGCACAAATTCATAACACGTATGGAATTCCATTAAATCTAAGACGAAAAAGAGGTAAACACAATATTAAAGAGATAAAATAGATGAAAATTTAATTTTACTACGTGTGGAAGGAGAATGGGTAGTAAAAGTAGAAAGTGATGAGGAAGTGCAATGTTATTGTTTGGATAAGCAGTTCTCTTCCTTTAAAAAAAGTAACTGTTTTTGTGGCATTCTTTTCTGTCTCTTGGCACAGCTTGACTTTCATTGAGATTCACTGCTCATCCGTTTCACTCAAAATTTCTGTTTGTTTGCTTTTAAATGAGACAAGGTATTTTCAATGACTTCATTGTTAATTTTCAACCCATCATTTTACCTAGGGATGCAATAGCTTCAGTAACAAGAAATTCTTCAATATTTAAATTTAATTAAGCAACAGAAAATATTAAAATGCTTCCAAAAGTCAGTGTTAATTTTGTGTCAGAGATTACATCAAATTTAAAAATCATTTATTGATCAGAGCATTTATAGCTCAAGATACTGCTTGTTATCCAAGATTTTTTAATTAATTAAATCATTAATTTATTCATGAAAACCGTTCCATGATCTGAGGTTCCATAAATTTCATTATGTTTGTATTGAAATTTCATTAATTCATTAAATCATTAATTTATTCATGAAGACCGTTCCATGATCTGAGGTTCCATAAATTTCATTATGTTTGTATTGAAATTTCATTAAAAGGTATATCACTTTTTTTAACTGTTTTTGTTTGAATTCTCAGTTTATTTCATAAATGTGATGCAGTAAAAGGAGAAAGAATATTAATTAGCATTATGTGTTTGCAGGATCTGTATTACGATTTTATTTACATATATTGTCTTTTATTTGCAGGAATCAAGAAGGAGCTCAACAAGAAGTCGTAGTCCGATTTCGAGGCACCGATGAGTTAAATTGGGTTAAATTTTTATAAATGTAAAAATCCCTGGCCTCCTATACATTGCATCTATGAAAAATCCTACAGCTTCTTAACCAGGTATAGAATATAAAATGGTACCTACAACTTAAATTATTTGTCCCACATTGCATGAAAGGGTACAATGGCTAAGGTAGAAGGGGTCAGTTCTGCATTTATATGTGTGAAACCTTAATTTAAAGAATACTTAAAATATATTAATTTTTAAATGTATATCCCTCATTTTTGTATATGCAAACTATTAATTATTTACATATTCCTTTAGTGCTTCTGTTTGATGTGTGATTGTTCTTAATGGTAATGAAAGGCTATTAGTTATCTCAAATTAATAAAATAATGCAGAACTATTCCTTTTCTATGTTAATGAGCTATGTGAAAATGGGTTTTAAAATTTAGCTAAAATATTTCAAAACAGGAAGGTAAGTACTTCATAAATTTGGCAGAAGTTAATGTATGTGTGGTGATTTTGAATGAGTGTTTTTTTTTTTTTTTTCCTTCCTTTTATTTAATGTTTTCCCTTTTGCTAGCCACAAATTATAAGGGGGCCAGTGGAAATAACTTTATTTAGTTCGTCATCTACCATAATCCTTTTGCAGATGAAAGCAGCCAATCGAAAATGATTCACCTTTAACGGTGGTCTCCCCCATCTTTCGACCCAGGATATCACACAGGGATAGAAGTTTTAAGGGTGTGCAGTGTAGGAATTGTTTCACAATGAAAAGATGCCTGATTGGAACAAAATGTTTATAGCTACATTTTTAAAACAGCAAAGCAGAGTTTGTAAAATGGACAATTGTTCCATAAATTTTGTCGCGAGTTCTTGGATATGATCTCGGTTCTTCAAAAGTATAAAAATTCATTTCAGAACTGAATTTACTTTTTTATATTTATGAATGGCACCTAGTATATTGAATGACATCACATGGACATAATCACTCATCCTAATTACACTTGTGTAAATCTTTAAGTATGTCATTCATGTTCCATACATTTGGCATGTTATGTTCATTAGGTCTTGTTTATTGAACTTGTATGTTGTAAAGCAAAATAAAATCATTTCATTTGTTGCTTTTATTGATGGTATTAAGACCATGTTTTGCAGTTGTATACCAGCATTACTGTATATGTAGCTGTTGTAAAAGGTGTTTATTAAAATTAAGTTTGATTCCATATTTTGTACTTATTTAACATACAACATCTGCTGCTTATTCTAACTTTCACAGCTCATTTGGGAGTGAGAGATATTAGAAAGAGATCCTAAAGATGGACCTATGTTTGATCACCTTTACAATCAACAGAGTTTAAGCAAATTTTCCACTGCCTGGGTTAAGAATCCTGATTGGGTAGAGGCAATGTGAATGAGTGAGGATTCTTTCACAAATACCAGCTGATAGAAAGTGGAAGTGCAACTTCTGCATTCAAAATTTTCCCTTTGGGTTAGACACATATTTACAGAGTTCTTAAAAAAAAAAAAAAAAAAAAAAAAAAAAAAAAATTCATGAAATCCTTTCTAGCATCTGATGAACCTAACCAGCACTTGTTATTTATGAAGTACAAAATTTCAGTTTGGGAACTGAGGCTATTTAGATCGTTATTCAGTTTCAGATGAAAATATTCAAAATTGCTTACCCTGTCTTTTCCTGCCCTAAATGATGGATCATCTCTTTTGGTTCTGCTGTCTTCTTAAGTAAGGATGACTTACGCAGTATTTCCAAGAAATTTATTCACACTAAATATAAGATTAACGTATATCTTCTAGAGCAGCAGTTCCTAACCTTTTTTGCCCCTTTTACCATTGACATATCTTCTTCCTTTCCAAAACTTGAAATGCATTACATCTAATTGGAGGTTTTTTTTTTTTTTTTTTTTTTTTTTTTTAATGTGTGTTAAAAAAATTATAGCAAATGTTGAAGCTTGAATAAAAGTGATTTTTTATATCCATAAGCTAAAAAGTAAATAAAGGGCTGAGTACATTCATTGCCTGGGTTAAGAATCCTGATTGGGTAGAGGCATTGTAAATGAGTGAAGATTCTTTAACAAATAACAGCTGATAGGAAGTGGAAGTGCATTCAGAATTTTCCCTTTGGGTTAGACACATATTTACAGAGAGTTCTAAAAAAAAATTCATGAAATCCTTCCTAGCATCTGATGAACCTTTTTTATATCAAGTCTTTGAATGGAAAGGGAGTGGTAACTGCAAGCTAATGAAAAAGTAAATAAAGCTTTGGTCATACCTATAATCATAAAAGAAGTAGAGAAACTGCATTTCAACTCAAGCATTGCAGTTTACTTAAATAATTGTAATTGCTGAAGAAACAATAAAAAACAGAAATATCTCAAGAAAGCACAAACAAGGATAATTGAGCAACACTGAAACTGCTGCCCTATAACTGGTTTCAAGTTACAAAACTAAAAAATGTTCCTATTTCTAAAGCTGTTTTCACGATAAAAGCTGAGGGATTCACTAATTGTAAGATAGAATTTTGTATCAACTGGCAGATGGCTCATAAGTTGGAAAGAAATAACATTATGCATCAGAAACTGTATGGTGAAAAGGAAGTGGCAAATTGTCATGTCACAGGTAATTGATAACTGTCACAGATGCTTTACCTGAGCCACTAAATGAATACAAGCACAACAGATTTATAATACAGATGAAACAGGAGTGTTTTGTAGAATATATATCAAAACCTCAATCATACCTCAATATATTGAAAGGAGCCAAAAATTTACCTCTAACATAGCAACTTGAGGATAACGGTGTAGTAGTATTTTTACTAAATTTTCTTCTGAATTGGGATATTGAACTGAAAAAATGGCTTTACTAATTAGGCAGCTGTGCAACATACTTACATCTGATCTCTTTTAGGAAAACAGTGACTTTTCCTGAAAACACAACTTTTAAGATTTCAGCAATCAGATCAAGATATTTTTCAACTTACAGAAAAGATGTTTAGATAATGATAAACAGAACTGAATATTGTAAAAATGCAAGCACTTTGGAGGGGATAAGTTAATATTTCTGCTAGAGGTGATGTGTATTATAGTTGACAGGAGGTCAATCTCTTAAAAACTGTTTTAAAAAATGTGACTTTTACAAACGAGATTAAAAGGGTAGCCAATATTTTAAATATCAGGTGAAGGAAGTTATGAACATTCATAGTTAGAATTTGTAAATTGACAATGTTGAGAAAATGTGTAAAAACTGATTATTTAAGAAATGTTAAAAAGGACTGCAGAAATGGGTAGCAAAAGTGATAACTTGCCAACGTCAATTGAATCTAGAAAAATATTGCAAGTTCTAAGAACCTAACCAGCACTTGAACTCTTAAGCTGAAAGGTGCTGATAAAAAAAAAAAAAAAAATAAAAAAAAAAAACCGACCAGCAGGTTTATGAAATTGAGAATACAGTTGCTGAGTTGTGTTTTCAGGAGCTGGACAGTTGATTGCACTGTATTGATGAACTATACAAAACAAACACAGATAGAAAGAACAATTTTTTAAAAGGAAACTTTCATCAAGTATGTATAATATATAATGTGTAAAACTTTTATTAAAATCAAAAAATAAATTTCAGATTTGCATAAACAGTTTAATTATAGCATTAATTTTAATAACTATTTTTGAATTTGTTATTAGTTCCTATTTTATTAGATAATATAAAACTAATATTGCAATTTACAATACACAGATAAACTCAACTTTTGAATGGAAGTGATTTTAATAAATGGTGGGTACTGCATATTGATAACAAATATGGATAAATTTGGCAGAACATTACAAAAAAATTTAAGCTTTAAATATATCTTTCCCTGTATTTAGGATAAATACAAAGTTGACCAAAAAATTGTATACCTATTTTATCAAATGAAAACTTTGCAATGCATGAAAATACTGAATTTATTCATATATGATGAGATGAACCCAATTTAATTTTAACCTCTGCAATTACAAAAGCTGCTCTGCATGATGAACATAATGTTGCTTTTTGCTGTATTCAGTATACCCTTGCAATTTCTCATACAGGTATGATACAGGATGATTTGTATTGCTAACTTTTGTTTTGTGCATATCGTGGCAGTTTCGTGTGGCATGGAAATTTTACCAACACCATAGCTGACTAAGCATGACAAATTGCTGTGCAAAGTCTGCTGATCTTCTCTGGTACTCATCTCAAACTTATTACAAAAATATGCAGTTTTCAGTTGCACTGCAAGTAGTGTTATAAACTTAACACCTCCATTAACACTGTGTACTCATATTTGAAATATCATTTTAAAATGCTCTTCAAATAACAGAAGTACCAGCAATTTTGATTTGGCTTTATGTCGTGTTTATTTTAGAATCACAGATGAAACAACTTCTGCTGGGACAAAAATACTTTACACACTGCTATCATCAATCAATCCAATTTTTAAAATTTCACAGTTATCATCTCTGAAAAAGTATATATATAGTTTTTTTAGCAGTGTGTATTATATAAGTAACTGCAGTTTGAAGGTAGTTTGAGATACCCTTGATATAATTTTAAATTAATTAGATTACAAACAGCTTTTTATAAACTTATTAAACTTAAAAAAAAAGAAAGGACTTTTGGGAGGGGAATTAATTTTTCAGATTTTCAAATACTGTTATACTATTTTATTAATAAATTTTCAAACTATTTTTACAATAAAAATATAATTTTTACATTATCATACATTTTGATTCAGTTTTAAGTTGCATACAAATAACTGAACATTTTATAATGGAATTTATATATACATTATAATTTTTAATAGAATTTACAAGAATAATGTTAAATGTATAAAAATATTCCAAAAAATATATAGATAAAAATTACAAATAGGAACAAAAGTGTGCATTTGCAGAAGCTTAATTTCTGTCTTTTAGGTATAGAATCTTGAATCTGTTAATATTTTGTAATTGGAAAATGGTTATTTACTTGCTGCAGTGGTTTTAAATTGCTGCCACAAGTGGCTTGCCATACACTTTCAAGCTGAAGTTCTAACTTGCTGAAAAACAAAAGTACGACAAGTATTACATAATTCTCATGTAAATACTTAATAATATACATGTAATATAAATTGTGATCACAATTTATTAAAAAACTTGCCTCTTTTCATTCTGTAGCACACTTATGGTATTATTTTGATTAATTATTTTCTCTCTCAAAGTATCAAACTGTTTCCCATAAACTTGCTTTAAAGTTTCATCATACTGGGCTTGGCTAAAAGTGAAATAAAAAATGATAGATAAATTCTTTCTGCATAAAGCTATTTATTCATCAGCATTTTATATTTCTTTCAAATTACTAACCTAATTTTAAGATTGAACAGTTCTTCCAATTTCTCTTTACTTAGATTCTATAGAAAAGAAAAAGAATGATTAATGCAAATTAAGAAGTAGTAATTTTGTCACAGCTGGAAAAAGGGAGATAGCAATTAGAAAGATAATCATTAAAATGTATGTGCAAACAATTAACAAGTTGACTGCCCCAGCAAAACTGAGTGATATACTCTGTCAGGCCATTTTTTTAATTCTAGCATTTTCTTGTCTTAGTTATCCTAAAAACCAGTTCAGTACCCAATTTTTGTATGAACTTGTTGTTTTGCTTATTTTCATTTTTAGTTGCATGATTCTATATTTTTTGTATTTGTAAACAGATTACAACTTAATTCATCATAATGTAACAAAAGAGTTCACTGTCTTGATAGTAAAATTAGATAAAAATTATGTTACAATACAAATAGTAAAATAGCATATAGAACCAAAAGTAAATAAATTAGTGAATGTATAAACATCTTAAAATGCAACACTAGTCTTTTAATAAACAATAAAATCACATAAATAATAGTTACTTAAAAGTTACTGCAACAACATCTATATTAAAATCATTACAATTTATGGAAAAAAAGCTTCCAGCATTTGATGCACATGCTTCTGACAAGTAAAGCTGCTGTGAATCAGCGATAGTGCACAAAGCAATCAAGGTACAAGTATGGCAATGTAGAAATTTTAAGCGCTTGATATATCAAAAGAATTTAAAATACCATTAAAATTTAAAATCTCATCATAATTATAATTATTAAATCAATATAACAGAAATTTATATATAAAAAAGTATTTGAGACTGTTTAGACATGCTAACTCGCTGATAAAACCCTACTTCATGTCACAACGATTAGGCCCCACATTAAAGCAACCTTCATTTCTCACACAATAAATGTTCTCTTATTCAAATCTTGTTATATTATTTTCATTAGTGTTAAAATTATTAAGATTGACAATGAGGTCATTTTAATACATAAATTCTTGCACAGAGGAAATAATAATATAGAATAAATTTTAAAAATGAATGCATTACTGAACCTATTCAATATTATTTTTTTATCCTTTGAGTTAGATCACAATGATTACATGATACTATATGGATTCTACGAAATGCTAGTACTGCAAGAGATGCTTGTTGAAAGTTTGACATTTATTTCTAGGAATCACGGCTTAAACTACATCCGAGATATATTGTGTCTTCAGAAATCCAAAGTGATGAACTTCCTATGAGCTGTTGTTATTTCATGTCTATGCACTTTAGTGCAAAATATATATTTAGAACTATTATACATGAGGTCCAACACTACTTATAATCGTTATGGCATACTTACATCTACAATTATCTCAGCGACTTATATTGGCCAAAATTCTTTCATTTATAAAACATTCTTAAAAGTTCCAAAATCTACAATATTTCAAGACTTTATTTTTCCACTGTACACTATGGATTTACTCGCTTTCAGATTCAGATAATTTGCTTATTCCATTAGTTATAAATTACACTAAAAGGTGTTTATTATTGTTTCCATCTCCTAAATCCACAGATAGTTCTAATGCAATGCGAATAACAACAGCATTCACAAATGGGCAGCTGGTGTCCATTTATTTATATAACTTTTTGGTTTTAAGTGAAACTGAAATTGTATGAATATAATAAAAATAATAAATTTACTTTGCCTTTTTTGACTGTTTTATACTAAGACAGAAAAGGAGAGAAACATGCGAAAATGAAACATAAAATTAGCAAAGCAACAACCTTGTGTTTGGTCTTAAACTAATCTGCTTCATGCTTTCTTATGTAATATTGCAATGCAGACAGCTCTTGCCTGATATGTTTGGTCTAAAATCTGCACCAAAAACAAGGTTAATTTTACACTAATTGCAGCTAATTAGGTAATTGCACTGATTAAATAACATGAAAGCTTTAAATGAGGAAATTATAGAGTATGCAATATTTTAGACAGTAATTATGAGTAAACTAATAAGCTGCTAAGTAATAAACATAATTTAGTCCTTGCTTGAAAAAAGACGAAGCACTATCACTTAATTTTTTTTATTGATGGTAGATTGGTTTGTTCCCCTTAACAAGTGAATTAATCTGCCATCAGTAGCATTAACTGCTTCAGTACTTAAAATTTTTACTTTTGAAATTGGTAATTTGTGCAACTCAAGATTTTTCTTTACAGATTTTAAATGTTTTTACTGCAATAGAGAACCAGATTATACTGATTTAAAATTCTAATTAAATTACTGAGTAAACTTTTTTTTTCTTATAATAATTCATGGCTTTCATTGAATTTCTGTTCCTTGGAGATAATATATGAAAAACTTTCCCTAATAATAAATTACATATAGTACAAAGTCCGTAATCCGGACTTGTCGGGACTTCGGCAATTCCGGATTATAGATCAATTAAAAATATTAAACTGTAATTTATGAAATAAAGAGCAATTATGACCTAAAGGGTATCAAAAATTTACCAAAAAAAAAGCGTAATATTTATTTGTTTACTTTATTAAACATTTCTTTTAATGTAAGTTGTTCGCTTCGTTTTTTTGTGCTAAACACGCATGCGTAAAACGCATTACGTGCATGAAGAGAAATTATGATCTAAAAGGTATCAAAATTTACAAAAAAAAAAAAAAAAAAAAAGTTTGTGGCTTTGAGGTCAGGATTATAGATCATTCCAGATAATGGATGTCCAGATTACAGACTTTGTTTAGACACACACATACACTCATTCTAACTGAATGCAGTGTATAATTTACTACAACTTGCAAGTTCGCATATTATCATGGATGTAATATGCCCCCAATCTTCATAACATTCCTACAAATTTACATCTTAAGATAATTAACAAAGCACAGAAGTGAGCAATGCATGTTGGCAAAATGGAAAAGTAAGTGCACATTCAGTGTGATCAGGCAAGAGCCGTCTGTATTGCAATATTACATAAGAAAGCATGAAGCAGACTACTTTCGAAAAAGCACAGTCCAGAAAAAATTATTATAAATAATTGATACTTTTAGAAGAGAAAAGGGAGATATACAAATAAAATGAAGAATTATGTGGCTATTTCTAATTTTGATATACGTATTTTTTATCTTACATACACATTAAATCATACAATGCAGTTATTAACAAGATATTTCATTTTATCTATTTCATAGACTTAATGTTACTTAGTATTATCTTTCTTTTGAAAATATTTAAAAGTTTCAACGATAAACAAAGATTATTTAAATAAGGTAAAATGTACAAAGGCTATCTGCCTATTACTTTGGCACTAATGTATCATAATTATATAATGCTAAGAAGACTTACTGAAATGTGTTCTTGAAGTCTTCCAATATTCAGACTGTAATTGACTAAAGTACTTTGGACTTGTTTTTGACGAAAATCTTCAAAAGTAACCTGTTACAAATAAAAATGGGAAGAATGATATACATTGGATTTTAACAAAGATAATGTATGCAATTAGCCATCTTAATTTACAAACCTTGCTCAACAGAATATCACGCTCCAAAGCTATGCTTTCTGTCTGTCAATAAATAAAAGAAACACGGATATTAGCAGTTTTTATTATGAGGATATAGAATTTTGGTATTTACAATGTTTTTCCATCTACAATGTTTAACAAGAACAATTGCCAAACAGTGCAATTTAGCACTCATAAAAATTTGGTTTTATGTAACCCCAGTTATAGAGAAGCCAGTTTACTTTTGCACAGGACGTAATAAACTATTACACCATCATTTAGTATATATTGTTACAATTTTTGTATTTATTTAGCTATTTTTAGTAGAATTTGTAATTAAAATTGTTTTATATTCCCGTGCAATGCAGCACGAGACTTATTTGAAGAGAAAGCTACGCCGGAAAAATTAAAATACAGGAGCATGCACATTTAACATTTTAATAAATAGTTATCTCGTAATTGTACTCTTTTGTTATCCAGAAAAATCGAGAAAATACAGAATATTCTCGCGCGGGATTAAAAAGCTTATAAAAGCTGGAGGAAAACATCTCAATCCAGTTGTTTACTTATTTCTTGTTGTTGATTGTAGCAAATTCGCGGTGAGATCGGATTAGCTTTCTCTGTTTTGAATTGTGTCCTGTAAAATGTTTTAGTAGTTTAAAATATAACTATTGTGATATTGTACAAATATCTCTGAAGAAATTTCAACATTTTGTTTTATTTGTTGTGATAAGAATAAATTTTAATCACTTTTCATCGGACTTGTGCACTCAATTTATTACAAACCCGTACGCACGCAACAGTACAAAAAATTAAACAGACATCTTTGTATACTAACAAATTAAAAACAGACAACATTCTTCTGTACCAAAACTTTTTATTACATACATATTTCAAAATTCCTATAATCAATTCTTTTAAAATTTAATCACTCATACATGAGTGCGCATGCATACACAAAAATAACATAAATAAGAATGTATGTGTAAAAAAATAACATCTTCCAGCTGATATTTTTAAAATATTAAAACCATGAACTGCTATTTCTCTTTTTTTTTTTTTTTTTTTTTCCCCTAGTATTTTGGAAAAGCAATTAAAATTAAGGACCAGCCTTGGAAAGGAATATTATCATCAAAGTTACAAAATCTTTTTATCAAAAAATATGTTGATTGTTGTCTAAAAAACTGTGCATTAATTAATATGACATGGAATTTTGTTGGAAAACAAAAGCGGCAATGCAACGTGCAAGGAGTTCACAAAGATGATTTTTTTATTACTATTATTATTTATGAATTAACATTAGGGATTTGTGGCACAAGTTTTAATTTTTTGTCAGATAATCTTAAGGTTTTGAGCTTATATTTATTAAAGTTATTTTTATATGCTATATGAGTAACTTATATCTATTGACTAACTAACTAAAGAGTGATCTGTAATTATCTATTTAAAACTCATCTGTTCCTTCAAACTCTCACTGTAATAATTGGCAAGATCTTCATTAGCTTTCACAGTTGATGGAAAAATATGCTAGTACCTAAACTTTTATCTCAAATCATACAATCCAGAACAAAAACATAAAATAAAATTGTTTCATGATTAGTAATCTAAAAGAATTGATAAAATTATGGCCTTGATAATGCACTATGTATGAAAATTTATTAAGATAGAATACTGATAATCACGAAACTTTGGATAAAGGGTGTTACAAATTAGTGAATTTCATGGGTTTTGCCTTCCTGATTTGTGTTAACAGTTTTTCCTTTCTAAAATTTGAGTTGTTTGCACGTTATGGTCGATTGCAAAACTGATGGTATTTGTTTCTAAAATAATTTAGTTTCCAGTATTTGGCAATACTGATTTTATTTAGTTGTAAAAGATTAATGCAGTTTCTTGGATCTAGTATTAGTTGAGAAAATTTTTGTTTGGAACATGTTTTGGCTATTTTGAATGGTTTCTAATTAACTTGTTTTCGTGTTTTTATATACCGGGTGGCCATATTTAAACTGACAATGCTCACAGTGTTCTGTAGTGCGATCTATTTGTGAGAATGACACTACATTTTGTAGGAAAATTAAACAAAACGGGGGATGAAGGATTCCATGAAAAAACAAATTACAGTCAAAAGTCGTTAATCCGGACTCGTCAGGACTTCGGCGATTCCGGATTATAGATCATCAGTTTAAATCTCGTAAGATGGCATGCAGAAATTCTAAAATTAAAAATATGAAACCGTAATTTATGAAATAAAGAACAATTATGATCTAAAGGGTATCAAAATTTACAAAAAAAAAAAAAAAAAAAAGCTTAATATTTATTTGTTTACTTTATTAAATATTTCTTTCAATGTAAGTTGTTTAAGTTGCTTTGTTTTATGTGATAATACTTTCTCTTTAATTCTATAAAAAGACATAATTTCTTGTTCAGTTACAAAGTTCCGCTGTTCAAGTCCCGTAATTGCTGTGCAGAGAATACCGACTAACTTGTCAATCGAAATTTTTTTCTTTTCACTAACCTCTCTGTCACCTTCTTCATGTCTTTGCAGCAATTCCACTTTTTGTTCGATGGACATCGAAACATACTTTCGTTTTGTAGATCCTTTGGGAGCTCCAGCATCGGAAATTCTATTTGACATAATCGAAAGTTCAAGTTTACTTTTATAAAATTGCTCTTACAGTCTGCAAAAAATAATAAGACAGATCCAATTCGAAGATTAAGGAACAACGCAATTATCAACATTAACTGAAATAGATAATTAGATAATTTTAGCTTATACCGTCCGTTATACATAAAACGCGCACGTGAAAACGTATTCTGCTCTTGTGCACATGCATATGCGCAGTCGTAACGATCTTACGCACACGTAAACGCCTATGCGCATGTGTCAATGCGGCACATGTGCAGAAAGTTTTTACCTTTTATTTTGCATTCAAATGAGGTTCAATGTGGCTGCCGTTGTTGTGGACCACATATTGCATTTTGTGCATAGTATGCACAACAGCATAAAGTAACATGTCTGCAGGAATCTCCGTACAGTCCGTGATATGTTATCCTTCAACGTTGCCAGGTCCTGGACCACTTCCTTGATAGACCTTGATAGACTTAAGGTAACCCCATAGCCAGAAGTCGCATGGGCGTAAGATCAGGCGACCGAGGTGGTCCATGCAGTTGGAAAGTAGCGGCTAATGACTCTTTCTGTTTGTGAATTTCTGTCGTAGCATCTGTTGCACCCGTACAGCAACGTGTGCCGAGGGACTCCATCTTTGCATGAAAATGATTTCCCCCAGGCACTGTCTTTGCTTAAGTGCCGGAATGACAAAGCTGTTCAACATGTGGCGATATTTCTTTTTCTCTCTGGTAACAGAACAGGTTTCCGGTCCTGTCGGGGTAATGTTCTCATAGAAGAATGGACCTACGATAAATTCCGCTGTAAACCCACACCAAACAGTTACCTTTGGTGAATGTAAGGGAATTGCTGTGACTGCATGTGGTGATTTGTCATCCCAAATTCGGCAGTTCTGGGTATTCACAGTTCTATTCAGGTAAAAGTGGGCCTCGTCTCCCCATAAGATTTTCCATGGCCTGCATCATCCACCTCCATTCTCTCCATTCTGGCAAGAAAGGTGAGAGCAAAGTCAATCGTTTATCATGGTCGGGGTACAGTAACTCCTGTACATGGCTGATTTTGTACAGATAGAAGTTGATAATCTTTCGTAAGATTTTTCATACCGTACTGTAAGGCATATCCATATTCCGAGCTACTCCACGAGCGCTAGAGGTGGCAGCAATATTGTCTGGTCCTCTGTCGACAATGCCGTGGCAACTGCTTCAAGTGTATCCTGTGGTATAGGTTTTCGTCTTCTGCCTGACTGAACCTTCAGAGAACCTGTTTTCTCAAACATCGCAACCATTGCTTTTATCCCATTAACTGACACAAGACCGTTACCTTTATGCATTTTTTTGTGCATTCTAAAAGCACGAAGAGCAGCTGATGCATTGCACTGGTTGAGGTAAAAGAATTTGACCAGTAACACACACTCGATTAAAGAAGAAGACATAGTACATAAACTTTCAATCCGATTGATTCGAAACGTAACACATTGCCTTTTAAAACCAAGCAAGTGGCACTGTGCGAATGGATGTAACATGAAATTTGAATAAAGAACTTCTTCTGCTCAGCGTACGTGATATTAAATTGCAGATCACGAGACTTTATCGGTGTTTATGTAGATTTTACGCTTTTTTTAAAAGTGTTGCCATATTGCACTTGAACTAAATCAGAAAATGTGCATAATAAAAGGTAATTTTATTCCGTATTAATTTGCATTTGTTAACACTATTTTCTACTACACAGCGCCAAATATTCCCCTAGCGGTGACTTTTGGAACTAATTTGTTTTTTTAGCGGAATCCTTTGTCCCCCGTCTTGTTTAATCTTCCTACAAAATGTGGCGTTATTCTCGCAAATAGATCGCGCTACAGAACACTGTGAGCACTTTCAGTTTAATTATGGCCACCCGGTATATAGAAACTGTACAAGTAACTGATTGTCAACTAATGTCTTACAAAAATTCTTCTAGAAGTCAAAATTAGGAAATTTATGCTTCACCATGATAATGCATCATCTTATTCAGCATGATTGACAGTTGAATTTCTTGAATAAAAAATTAACGTGAGAGAACATTCATCCTATCCTCTTGATCTTGCTATGTGTGATTTTTGGCCCTTCTTTTATTTAAAACAAAATTTATATGGCCAGTGCTTTCATTCCAGAGATGAGGCTTTTTCACCAATTCCAAGTAGATGGCTTGAAGCAGTTAGTCTTTCAAAAATTTGCCTTAAAAATGTATTGATGTTACAGGGGACTACTTCGAACAATCCTAAGATTTGGTATGTTTAACTTGTACATTTAGCTGTATCTAAAATTTCAGACTGATCTTCATGTGGAGGATGTATAAAAGATTTGGATGTGAAGCTTATGGTTATATGAGATGAGAAAAATGGATCTAAAATCATAAAAGGAAAATATGATAAAACATAGATACAACTAAAACTAAACATAGAACTAAAAATACAAAACTTTACTTTTCTGAAATAAAAGAAAATCAAGAAGTTAGAGATACAAAATTTAATAAGCAGAAACTTGGATTAAATGAAGAGAAATGAATTACAGTTCAATAAAAATCAAATATTAGACGAATGTTATTTTTTACAATAAACAAACTAACGATAATGATGAAAATGAAAATTTAGGAATAGCAAATAACGATAAGAGAAAGGAAAGTGAATCCTAATGAAAAATCTGAAGAAATTTTATCGTCAAATCCAAATGATAAACAAAACTAAAACAGTTCATAGGAAATAACATTATCTGAGCCCTTCAAGTAATTGGAAGTACCTGGAAATGATATTCATGAAAAACCTGTAAAAAATAAAAGACCAACCACCACAAAAATTAAAAGATTATGTTGAATACAATATAAATGAAAAATTATTTAAGACATATGAAGCTGTGAAATCTGCTGAAAGTCATTTTTGCTACATGCAATGATAGAAGAATTAAGGAAGCTATGCGGGCGAAAAAAAAAGATCATTAAACAATTATTGCAATTATTTTAAACAAAGGAAGGCCAGCTGCAACCAGATTTAACCAAAGATAAAGAATAGATTATAAAGATAGATTTAGTCCAATAATGAAATTTGCAATTTTTAGAACAGTGTTATTGATTACAGTTTATAAAAGCTACAAAATAAGATTTTTTGAATGAATGAAATTACATCCAAAGTAATTTTTATACCTTTAATAACAGACTAAAAAATAAACTGTTTAGAAAAACTATAGCAGTTATATTTTCCCTAAATTGAATTGTAATGTTAATTCTACCATTACATTTTATATGCATGTAGTAGAATTGAAATTTTGGATTTATTAAACAAAAAGTTCTACATTATTTAGCCTATTTTCTTCACCATGTTTCCCATTTTAAATGCCAGAAAAATCTGTATAAATATTGTTTTCAAGAATTTATCCTCATTCATCAGGACCAGAATAAGATTTTTAGAGGCACTTAAAAAAAGATTTTGGTGCCCCCTCATAACCATAACATATTTACCTGCTTTCTCCTAATTTCTTTTCTTATAGTCTTGGTTTAGCTGCCCCATACATTCTATCGTAAAAACAAAACAGCAGTGTGAATTTTTTGTGGTGCCCCCTTCCATGAATTACAAGAACCTTTTCGCAGTGCCCCCTACACTTAATGCCCTAAGCACGTGCTTATTTTGCTTAATGGTTAATCCAGCTCTGTCATTCACTGCCAACATAATTATACTTGCTTGTTGTGCAAAATGTAAACAAACCAGCTATGGGGTCCACCAGCGGCCTAGCGGTAATGTCGCTGAATACTGGCAGTTCGGTCCGAGGTTCGAATCCCGCGAACGGGCTGGCTGCATGGGTGTTTTCGTGGTTTTCCCCATGTGTAATGTGTATATGAGCCAGTTTTCCTTAAAAAGTCCTCCACGAAGGCATCCCTCCCTTAAGGCAGATAGCCCTCGAATGCTTTGCCGTAATCTAATAAACCAAACCAAACCAGCTATGAGACGCATATAAGTAGAAACAAATGCTTCAAAATTTGTGACCAAATAAATTTTTTAAACATGTTAAAAGCAAAACATTTACAGATTCAGGATCCAAAATTACTGTAAAAAAATGCTGAGACAAGTACAGAAAACAGCAAGTTCTATAATAACATTAATTTGCTTTTTCAGCCAAAGTATGTTATCAATACGTTTTTTTTTTTTTTTTTTTTTTTTTTTTTAAAAACACTTATTTGTAAATACATGTAAGTAAGAACTGGCACTAAAGTTTACATTCAGAATTTTCTGAAAATAAAAATTCTGCTTTACATCCAAAACTGAGCATAATAGGCATTGATGGATTGATGGTTTAAGCAGTTGCAGATTATCCAAATTCAGTTTTCTGTAAAAAAATTAGTTCAGAGTATGTTCATTGCGCTAGATTAAATTTTTCTTCAATGAAATTTAACCCACGCTCAAACAGCTAACATTCAATGAATTAAATAATTTCTAACTTCAAGTGTCTGAATTTTTTTTAAAAATACTATACAAATAGCTTACCACTTCCAGAAGTGAATGTAGAATACTTTTAGCACCATGTTCACTGTCTTTTATATCTTCTAATTGTTGAAGTAACTGATTTTTTTCTAAAAGAAATTTCTCATTTGACTTCTCAAGATCCTCATTTTTTGATTCCAACATAGTCAATTTATCTTGCATGTCTTCAATTTGTATCGCAAGAAAATTTTTTGTTTCATTCAGTGCCTGTAAAAAATAATTTTACTACATTTAATTTTAAAACAATTTCCAGTAGCTTCAGATTTATTTTAATACCATCAAGATCTGAAATAAAAATGCACATCGAATATTCATATGGTCTGTAATTTTTTTATCTTTAAGATAAAAATATTTTATCAGTTTTAATATGCACAAAGTATAGTTATGATGTATGAATAAATATTTTTATTCTAAATAAATGAGGAAACTTTCATTAGTTTTTAAATAATATTAATGTTATTTCAAATAACACCCTGGTATTTTTAATTGAAACTGTTTCTTTCTGTAGCTCTTAAACATTGCTTTGGACTGGATTATTTTGGTTGCGGCAAAGCATGCGAAGGCTGTTTGCCTAAAGAAAGAAATGCCATTCTGAGAGGCTTTTTAAATGGAACTAGGTCGTATCCACATTACGCATGGGAAAATCATGGAAACTCCCATGCAGGAACTTTGAGGATTTGAACAAAGGTCGATCTAGCAATTTTCAGCTATTTTGCCGTTTGGCCACTAATGAGTCTTACGAATAATTTTAATTATCAAACAAATGCCAAGCCACTGATCATCAGATTATTAGATGACGATCTCTCTAATACTTTTAAGAATGCATTAAAAATTATTTAGTGCAGAACACTCGTTCAGATGAACATCAGTCATCCCTTGTCTGGAGTCATGCATCACATATTCAGGTGAATTATTCAGTTAAAAATGAAACAAATAGGTACTAAGACAATGATATCAAGTCAAAAGTCTAAAGTGGGCCACAGTGGCAGATCCGGAACACTGTAAGTACACAAAGCACACTCCAGGGCCACCAGCAGTGATCGGTGTTGCGATCCTATAATGATGCGAGTACAAAAAGTGGAAAATGGAGTTCAGAGCTCAAATCCTAGGTTATTTTCATTCTGTATGCTCTACAAAGGATGGCAATGGATGAATACCTGTCTATGCATGTTAGCCACCAGGTGTGCTGGGCCTTAGCTACTTGTCACTTATATACTCTGTATATTCTAAATTTAATTGAAAGTTAAATTTAACCATACAACCATGTTACACAAAAAAGGGTGGAAAGAAGGAAGGAAAAAAGTGGAGATAAATTGCAAACCTTGAATAAATAGCAAATGAAAATTATCTACCAGTAGTCAAACTACCAGTGTCCCATGATTTTAGCTACTCTGCCAATCATGGTTTATAGATTTAAATTTATTAACAGTTTTGAAGATAAGGCATCATTACCATACCCAGGCGAAGATATCCAGGAAATGAGGTGCACTTTGAAGTCAAATATAAATCTTTCTAAATGAGCTTTCTATTAACAGTAACTGATGCAAGGAGTAACTGAGTGCTAAAACAAAGTGGATGCACTAGATAATGCTGTTTCATTTGATAGACACTGGTATAAAATTTTAAATAATTATTCCTAATAGTTGAAATATAGCTTAAAGAGCTTAATAGGTCTGTAAATTTAAGCTGAAAAACTGTTTTTGAAATATGTTTTAAGTTCTTTATGGTATCAAAATGATTGTGGTGAAAGATAGAAAGAGATTTATAAGTTGGTCGAGAATTCTTTAATAAGTAATTATCTTTAATGAGGTCACTTTGAGTCAGGCAAATAAAGAACAATACAATTCTGAATTAAAGTATTTAATTAATTTAAGAAGAAAAATAGATTTTTCTGTAGATCAGGTACCCAAAGAAATTACCATGAGATTTCAACAGTTACACACTCTTATACCATTTTTATTTCTTCAAACCTTGGAAATTGCGAATATCAACTAAATTGTGATCTCGGTGCTCTAAACCTTTGGGAGTTGTAAGGTTAAGCAATTCTTTCTTTCCAAATATGTGCAATATCTGTGAGACATAAATTTGTAATATGAGCTGTGTTTGTTTGTGCCCACTGCTGTGCCTAACTGGAATATGAACTTAGCTTCTTGAGGACATTCAAAAGGTTAATAATGAAGAATTCCTCAGTTAGAGAGATGTGTTTCAAAGTTTTATTTCTATTATTATCGCTAAAGAAAACGAAACAGGAATGTGGAAGGTGGGTCCTGTTGACGTTTTGCTATTTGTTCTAAAATACAGTTCTTCGGACAATGTACTACTGCTGAGAAATTTTTTAATAATTACTGTAAGTCTTTCTCATGGTGATAAGAGTTTTTGAAATAAAAATCATTTTAGAACTACAAATGTTTAATTTTTTATTTAAGAAATAGTTCTGTACTATCATCATTGCACTCTGTAATAGGTGGTTTTGCAAACAAATATAATAATAATACAGTCAAAAGACGTTAAATCGGACACCCATAATCCGGACCTCAAAGCTACAAACTTTCTGCGCATGCGTCGCGTTGACGTATGCACATAGGCATTTACGCATGCGCGTAAGACATTTATGGCTGCGAATATGCGTGTGCGCATGCGCATAATACATTTAAGCATGCGTGTTTAATGTATAACGGACGGTATAAGCTAAAATTATCTATTTCAGTTAATGTTGTAGATTGCGTTGTTCCTTAATCTTCGAATGATCCAACTTATATTTTGGATTGTTAGAGCATTTTATAAAAGTAAGCTGAACTTTCGATTATGTCAAATAGAATTTCCGATGCTGGATCTACAAAGCGAAAATGTGTTTCGTGTCAGCAAACAAAAAGTGGAATTGCTGCAAAAAATGGATAAAGGCATATTTGTTTCTCTAACCATTCCGAATCTGTTTATCATTTCACTTGCTCTGTGGAGGGGGGGGATGGGGCGGAGCACTATGAATTGGAAGTTGATCTTCAGCACTATCCTTATCTTCAGGGCAGATGTTTTATTTTATTTGGCTATCCTTACTAATGTTTATTTCATCTCGATGTACTCCGTCTTTGATATGTTTTATATCAAATTCCTTGTCATTATAATTCGCTTCTGATAGTAAAGAAATTGAAAAAAGTGACACAGAGGTTATTGAAAACGAAAAATTTCAATTGACAAATTAATCGGCATTCTCGACACAGCAATATATGGCTCGAACATCGGAACTTTGTAACTGAAGAAAATTATGTCTGTTTATAGAATTAAAGAGAAAGTATTATCACATAAAACGAAGCAACTAAACAACTTAATTGAAAGAAATGTTTAATAAAGTAAACAAATAATATTAAGCTTTTTTGTAAATTTTGATACTCTTTAGATCATAATTGTTCTTGATTTCATAAATTACGGTTTCATATTTTTAATTTTATAATTTCTGTATGCCATCCAGATTTAAACCAGATTTGATGATCTATAATCCAGAATCGCCGAAGTCCCGACGAGTCCGGATTATCGACTTTTGACTGTAATAATAATTTTTACAATTTTAAAATGATGGAATCCAAATTTTTCTTTAGAAGTTATAGTAAACTTTTAATTCATTTTCCTCTATGTCATTTTTACATTCAGTCATTTGCTTATACCAAGAGGAGAGACAAATTCAAAGACTGCTCCAGGCAGACTCACTCAGGCTCTGCCCCGGGTAGCAAATGTTCTAGCTATGCTACTGGTGAGACATGACTTGTATGTGTTACCAGAAAAGTATGAAATCTGGCATTCTATAGAATGGCAAAATCTGGCTGGCAATATATGAAATAATTAAATATTTCACACATTGCGTAGGCGTTTTATAGAATGCAGAATGACAAACCAGCAAAGTATGAAATACATCTGCGATTCTTTTTGAATAACCGGAACTACCATATTTGCCGGCATATAAGACGCACTCTTTTTCCTTTGAAAATAGGTCTGAAAAATGGGGTGCATCTTATACACCGATAATGCGCCTTATACATCGATACGTGGTTTGTGAATGGGTCAAAGCTTCATGGGATGCTGTGAAAACAGAGACAATGGTTAAATCATTTAAGAAGTGTGGCATTAGTAATGCACTGGATGGTATAGAGGACAATCTGTTGTATAAGGTCTCAGATGCTAATTTAGAAGAGGTTTCAAATGACTCTTCATTTAGCTCCGGAGATGATGTCTGGTTTGACGAAAAAATTAAAGGTTTCTTTCAGATAGATTGGGATTGCAGTTTATTTGATTTGTATACTTAATTAAATATGAATTCATTATAAAGAGTAATCGTCCCCTTCAATGTGACAAAAAAAATTCTCTTTCACAGCAATACGGTACTACTGTCATATCCTTCTTTTCTTGGGCGTGTAGCTTCTGGATATGTATTTATTCCTACCGTAGACGTATCGTATTGTGTGCGTTGCATAAAACAGCCATTTTAACGGCACAAAACTTTATTAACACACAAATAAAAATAATAAGTGCAAACGATGAACACACAAGTATCACTTCGTTTCTTGCATCTAAGCTGACATACAACACATTTCCTTCGTTACTTCGCTACTACCTCCTAACTACTCTTCTCTAGTCAGTTTCATGAGAGAGAGACGTTGCAGGCCGTTCGGCTAAACTGCGCATGCGTGGTCATCACGTCATGACACCTCCCCTCGAAAAGATTTGATTGCGTCATTCAATGACCTGTCAAATCCACATATATAAACATTTCTTGAAACAAAATAAAATAACATCCACGAAATTTTCGAACTTAATTAACTAATTCTTACCATTTTAAATTAAAATTACTTCAACATAAATTCAGTAATCCTATTCATTTAAAAGGATGTAACATTCAATTAACTTTTCAAACTTAAATCCTTCACATAATCATAATCATATAAGCAGTTATCATATAAACGAGACAATACAAATCAATCATTAACATTAAACATAATACTTTAGCAAACCCTAGCTAAATCTTTAAACACATTACCTAACGTTAGGAAAAACAATTTAGCATTTTAGCTAAAAAAAATCAAACTAAACAGTCAAAATGTCTTATAGTTCATAGTTCATAACATCAGTCATGCTTCACTCACTGGGAAATATAATCATGTCATTTTAAGTCACGTCATCAATAAACTCAGCATGGTCTTTTTGTCTACACATAATGT